CAATATATATAATGTAAGTCAACTCGTTTGACCTCAAAAACGGGAATGAAATATATTATATGTAGGAGCCAGTCAGAGGGGTACAAAAAAAAACAGCCAACAACTGACAACAACTCATTTAACCATGAGAACTAACCATGATGTGTGTGTGTATACAACGTATCAAGGAGAGATGCAAAAGTTATGTGCTTGCGCGCGCGCGCGATATATCGCCTTGCACAATAAATTTATATTTACAATTATCCCCGTGCGCTCGCACGGCCGAGTCAAACGGAAACGAGGAGGAAATTAACTTATAATCATAGAGGTAAAATACATACGTTTATCCAGGCGAGATGTATCACACCGAGCGAAGAGAGAGAAAAAAAAAGAAAAAGCAGCAGTGGTGCATCAGACGGAACAACAACAACAGCAAAAAATCGCGAGAGAGAGAGAGAAAAAAAGAGAGAAACATCCGTTTAGCGCGTGTGTATCGTTTATCAAAATATATGAAAAAAAAGAAGGAAGTCGAGCAGTCCTGCAAGCAGGAGGCTCCGATATAGTTTGGATCGCGTATCGCAGCCAGCGCACACTTGTCAAGGCAGTGCAGTCTGCTGCCGCTGCCAACGACCAACCTTGCCGCACGCTCGCCGATGCCGATCTCGAAGGCAGATCGGTAACGGCTCGTATATTATATATATACTATATACTTTCTATCCTCGTGCGTGGCGCACATATTTTTTTCTGCGTACGTGTATATTTTTCGACGACGTGAAAAATTGATTAATACGAGACGCTCCATCGGAGCGAGTGACAAGTGTGACGATCGCGACGACCACGTCGCGATGACTCGAGCGAAGAAAAACACAATGGCACGCGTGCGTGCGTGTGCGCGCGAGAGATCGTCGCACGTTTTTTCCTTTTCGAAAATAAGGCCGGATTTGATTTTTGTAACTTTTTATTTTGATTTTTTTTTTGCTTCGAAAACTGGACCGATCTAATGACCCACACACATCTCCTTTTACAGATCTTCCTTGTAGGATTCTGAGGCACTGATAATTTTTCTCAAAGTCAGCTCTGGGACGAGACGCGCCGTCATTGTCTTAATGGATATTATATGCATGCGCGCGAGCTTTTGCATACGAAATTCGCGCCTATGATCGCGCGCACGTTGAGCGTCGCAGCGAAAAATAAGGGAAAAAAGTTTCACGCACACTTTTATCTCAAACGTCGCGTGGCTGTATTACATTTTTTCTCTCTTACTTTTTTTTTAAAGATTATAAAAAGAAAGTTTTGACCTTAATATTTCGCCTCGCATGTAAGTTATTTTTTATTATTGTAATCGCATCGCGAGGCATTACACTAGTAAATGTATATACAGGATCCCATGAAAAATTTTCCTGTTACGGTGCGCTAATCATATTCGCGTGATGGATGCACTTGTAATTCGCTCATTACGCTAGAGCTCGCCCGCCGTGTATGTATGTATGTATCTACGCCAATATAACGCGCGTTACATATTATACGAGCCATTCGTTTGTTTGTTACTGTTTTTTTTTTGTTATCGTTATACTTTTTCGTGTACGGTATTATACTCTTACCCGCCGACGAATCGTCGATATTAAAACGCGAGCGACTCTTCGCGCGTAATGGTTGTCTAATTACGATTATATGAAAAAAGTGGGGGGCAAAAAAAAAACTTAAATAATAAAAATTTTGATCGAGTCTCGCGCGCGCTACTGCGATTATTACGAGATCTCCAACACGTGACAGCGAGATGATGATTATAAATATATAGGACTCGCTCGGCGCGCCGATATCGATTCAAATCCGCTTTTGCTGATACATACACATTCGAAATTATCCGTCTCGTTATAGAATCGAAACGAAGAACAACAAAAAAATCGATACTCGTCGTCGGTGCAGAACGCGTTCGCTACACATATTGGCCGTTTCTTCGTTTATGATATTATATTAGCTATTAAGTGAGAGCCTATATGTCAATGTTAAAAGTGTCAATGTCAAATTATGCACCACATTTGCATAATGACATATATTGCCTTATATTATAGCGGCGCACGGATAGATTCGAGACTGAGGCACTCACACGTACACACACACACACACACAAACATGAGCGTAATAATAAACCAAACGCCACTCGTGTTATCCTTAGAATTTGAAATCAAAACGTTTAATTTTAGCAGAAACTCGAATTTCTTCAATTGCATGATTCGTCGCGCTTGTGCACACACATACACATATTTTAACACAAGACGTTGTGATGTTGAGAATTTAATAACAAAAACTACTCCTTGAGTACGAAGCTACATAAATTCCCACTTTTTACGCTTACACATGTAGAGGAAGGCTGTGTATGTAACGTAGTTGTGCATTTGCACAAATTGCATCAACGATCGCGAAAAACGTAATCATGCTATCATGACTTGAGAGCTTTAATTTTTATTCATGTTTTTCGGAAGCAACGAGACTCTTTCGTGGATCTATTATTAGTCGTCGAGTTATAGCGGAGCTAATTTTTTTTATCTACAATTTTTTTGTTTTTCTTAAAAAAAAATCAAATTACATAGTACGAATATTTAAAAGGACGAAGAGTATTAACAGCGTATCAACTCTGATTGAACACTTGTAAAGAACATGTAAAATCAGACATTGAAATTAAAGTAATAAACACCGAATTTTCTTTAAGATACTTTTACAGCAAATCTTCGTTAAAAATTAATGTATGAATAGATGCATATTATAATTTGAACATTTTGATTTTAATTGCTAAAAAATGCATCAAATTTCAATCATGATAAAAGCCAATTTCCACCACTAGATGGCGTGTACTTCTATTTGTGATTCTGCAAGTGGCGAAGTGAAAAAATTGTATAAGTAAAGCACGATAAAAAAATATATTAAATATTTTCCTTTATTGTGTACCGGCAAATTTCAAAGTTAAGTGTCGTTTTCCTGAAATTATGGAGAAGCAAAGAAAGAAATCAAACATCGACAATAGTAAAAACTTGAAATTTAATCCAGTTTTTATGTAAAATCAAACATTAAAGTTTAAGTAACCGTTAATGAATTGTGTTTAAGGTACATCAACTGTAAAAAAATGCAGGAAAATTAAATTAAATACATTATTTTAATGGCAAAATAAACGGAAAGGATTTAATCTTATCATCCATTTCAACATTTTTATTGCAAATCAATTGTATAAGACTGTTTTAGTATTATCTTTAATTGTCATAAAAGTTTATGAAATTGTAATTAATACTAATGTCAGGCTCCACCACTAGATGGCGATTATCTTTATCTGTAAATCTGCAAGTGGCAAAATCGAAATTATAGTATATAAGACAAAGCACGCAACGTTTCAAGAATTTTCTGTGTGTAACACAAATTCTGCTAGTTTTGTATATTAAAAATTTTCTATCTCCCGAATTTTCATCCAGAACTGTATAATGCGCATATTAAAAAATCCTCAAATGAAAGATAATTTTTTTCTTTGAAAAAAAATAATATCACACGAAATAGATTGTATCTTTGTGCATGACAATCGATACAACATAACTAAATCATTATTCAATTCTCTGCCACAGAGTATAAATGATAACTTCGTTGGTCTACAAAAATCTATTCAAACAGTTGAGCTCCCAAGTAACTTTTTTTAATATCAATAATTATGATTTTATTTAAGATTGCATCATCTCATTCCCGTATTCTAATATAACTATTAGTGCGTCTAGTATTAATGCCAATGCGCATATGTATTATTTATCGCATCAGTCATTGATCGATCCCTTTTTTTTACAAAGCTTCAAAATTTACATGTCAAATTCCACGAGCGCCGAGATTTCACGCAGTCATCGATATTTATCAATGATTTCGACCAATAATCAAAGGCGAAACAAAAGAAAGAGATAGAAAAAAAAGTTGAAGAAGGTGCCGAAAGAATCCGATTGATTTTTCATCGTATGCATACGTCTTCCACGCGTATATTTCGCGCATGGTGACTTGTGAAATTTCTCGTGCGTGTGTGCGCGCGTACGACGTACAGCAACCGATTCAATTATTGTCTCACCGTAATAATTCGATTCCTTTAATGACACGCGTGTTTGTTCATATGATAGAAAAATTTTCCTGCTCCACTTATCATTCTAACGTTGCAGATCTCCAAAGATGTAACGAGAAACACACAGATACTATAGAGAACTCTCGTGGAGATTTCGAAAAATAAAAAAACGGACTCACACAACCATGCGCGAGTGAAAAAAATGTTTGAAAAAAAAAGTCGGAGAGAGAAAAAAAAACGACGACAGGGAAGCGATCCGCGCGTCTGGACATTTCGACAGAACATCATGGTACGCGCGATTTTTAATAGTTACGAAGCACGGAAAGCTCGTCAATTGACGTCAGCCATCCGCGAAGTTGTTAATTTCTCATCGTCGCGCGCGAGATCTTCATATCGAAGAAGACAAATTGATCCGAGACGTTTTGAATAATTACATAGAAAGGAGAGATACGTACAGAGACAGAGAGATAGATAATCGGCTACTCGCACGACGATACATGTCAAAAAAGGTGTGCCGATTTTCAATCGGATAAAAAAAACAACAAACGAACAACGCGGGTCGAAAATTCGATGCACGATCGAATTAAATAAGCTTGATACGCGTGTGCATACACAATTAGGAGGTATAAGCGCGTGGCAGGGCTCTATTATAATTAATTAGACACATTTTTGCCTGGAAAGGTTCTCTAAGCCTTTATACAATCGATTCGCTCGATCTAGTATATAATAATACAATTCAAGCCTCGTAACAGACCATAAAGCCCACCGCACACAATTTCTCGCGGTACGTGTTGTATTATATACAGTTGCATGCTTGCGCACACACATGTACACTCACACACGTAGCGCAATAAAAAAGCCATTAAAATGATGCAAAAATGCGCGCGCAAAATAAATTTAGCCGGCGTACGTACATATAATATGTGTATATAAGACTCACTTTCATTCAGATGTTGATCTCTCGCGTATAATGGCTTGAAAAATGCCCTCTTCCTTCGTAGTGGTAGCAGTAGTAGTAGCGTAAATAGCAGCCGAGCTCCAAATATGTATACACACGAGTGTCCTGCGCGCGGCGCGTGGCCGCCGTTTTATTACACGGCGTACGCTAGTGTGCACTTTCACGAAATTTTCACGAGTAAGATCCTTTTGAGCCCGGACTCGAGTGCAGCAGGTAAACACTGTGTCTGTTATGACGGCTCTCGGTAGCGAGACGCACGTGGTTTGGTTCCTGTCTCGCACAAGAGGATGTGTGTCTGTTATCTCTCCGCGAGTCGGAAGTTCGCCTTCGCGACGAAGAACAGAAATACAGCTGTGCGTTTAATTTCACTTTCTCTCTCCCCCGAGATGCAATGACCGGTAATATAACTTTTTGGGAAGTAGATATCGTTGTCGTCGTATATAAGTGTAAGGATCACTGGACGCTAGCACGTCAGCGGGAAAAATGAAGCTTCGAGCGCCGAGTCGCCGAGCTATATGGGTCCCCCCGAAAGCGCGACAAAAATATTCGCAGTCGCAGGCAGCAGCAGCAGCCGGTAAGTATAGTAAGTGCGCCACTTGACGATATGCACGACGACGACGACGGTCGAAGGTGTATTTTATAATACGTATACATATACACAACACATGCACAAGCGCGTCATTGGAGCGCGGAGATGTTGCACAAAAAATCACCTTCCATGATACACACACGCGGCTGGCTCCGCGGCCGGCGCGGCGCGAGAGCAAAGTCGCAAATTGGTGTAATATATATTATAATATATGGCGTGTGTCTTGGCGCACGCAATGACGCGCACGATACACTGTAACGTATATTGCCCGCGTCTTCGAACCGTATCGAAAGAGTTTCGATTTTTTTCGATTTTTCGTTTTGTTTCGGTGTTCTAGGGATAAGGTCGCGCGGGTATTTTTAGGAGCTTTTGTAATACCCGGTGCAGCGCCGCGTTTTGCACTGATTAATCAAAAATTGCGTCGCACCATGGAGCGATATTACGTCCTCGAGCGCGCGCCGCCGAGACGAAATAAAATCAAACTTTTAGTCGGCGAAACGATCACGTCTACACGCACTGCCATTGATAGATGAATCGATTTCCTCATCTGATTCGATTTTATTCGTTTATTTATTTATGTTTTTTTCCTCTATTGTCATGTTTTTCTTTCTCTCTTTCCTAATCACAGACGAGTCGCGCGGCTCGTTAGACGAGCAGTTGAAGACGATTTCGATTTTTTGTGCCACTCGCGTTACCGTATCGCTCTGGTCATTTCTTTTTTTCTTTTAATTTTTTTTTCAAATTTTTTTTTTTTTAATTTACCGTCATCGTCGTCCGCAGCTCTCCGCATATGTACACTGCCGCCGCTGCCACCGCCACTACTGCTGCTGCTACTTTTTTTTATTGCCGAATGCGTCAGGGAAAACAATAACAAGAAAGTCAGTTCACGAGTTTCGCAGACTGCAGACCGTATGATTATATCAGCGTTTAATCAAGCTCGCATAACTTTTGTGTGTTTTATTTTTTTTTCACGATCACGTGTGTGTGTATGTGCATACGTGTATGGGTATGCATGTCTGCGAGAGAGCGCGAATGATGCAATCGCAAAAGTTTCGACCAAAAAAAAGGAGGAGTAGGAGGAGGATAGAAATTCGAAAATTTTTAATTGATGAACAAGTCTGGGATCGGCTATTTCGACAAGACCAAAACGCAGCGACTCGAATAGACACGCACAGACGAAAATGCATATAATATGAAAAGTCATTACTCAAAAGCCTCTGGCATCTAGCATACCGCGTGACGACGTATTTGTGTCGCATGCACAGAAAAATCATAAATCCATCTGCAGCTGTTGTATGAAAAACTTTCGATGCTCGCATGGAACATACACAAATGTATATACGGGGACTTACAGAATCTGCGCACGTGCCATAGGCCGAAGTTTGTTTTCCAATGAAGAATATCACATTCTAATGTTCGTATACATAATATTCGTGGCCGCTCGCGACGGGACTCATCTGCGTAAACGCATAATACACGCGATATAATGTCGGTGAAGGTGATCATAGTAGTGAGTTTTATGGTCGTAGATAGCAATATGTTGTCGCGCGAGGAATTCGTATAGATAAAAATCGGTCAGCACGAGGAAAAGGGCGTATAATACTTTGAAAAAAAAAAAATAAACGACAGTGTAAATTTTTTTTATATCTTTCTAACGACGCTTGTTTTTCCGACTCGAGCCAAACAAATTAATTGCTAAGCAGAAAAGTATGTGGAAAATAATACACACATGGAGGTGTGAATCACATCATTTAAATAATACCATTAATTTTTTGGTAAATAGGCAATTTTTTATTGGGAATGAAATACGTATTACGTCGTGTAAAACACAGAAAAATATCAACGACTCAAAACAACGCTTATTGACGCGCGCGCTTGTTTGGTAGCGTGTAAGTATGTGACGATGCTAATTTCACCTCGTTACAACTCGGTTGACGATTTTCCAATTTTCCTCCCTGCGTTTTATTCATATATTTATGTTTTTCAAAATACTCGCAAGGATAAGAGACGCGACATCGTGAATATTACGTTGAGCCGAGGTGAGGTATATATTCACATAAATATCACGAAAAATCTGCAAGAAAATATTCTCGGAACATAAATTTTCCAATCCTGTATACTCCGTCCTCAAAATGCTGCCGCTGCACGTAACAATCAATGAAAAGTGCAGCGAACCGCGAATCTTCAAAGACGTCGCGACGCGCGCGCAATGGCAAGGACGACATTTTTCGCGCATCCTCGGCACACACAGACGATCGCGCGCATTCGCTGTTACAACGTCGGTGGAATTTTTTCCCCTCATTTTTTTTCTCGAGTTTGATCTATTCTTCTCTTTTAATTCGTCTAAAATTATGCATTCGAGTTTTCGAGCCTACATGAGAAAACGAATTCGGCATCGTGTGGCCGTGTGCTTTATATACTGCGGATTCATCGCGCGATACGAATCTGTAAAGGATATAAGCGCGGGCTTTGTTATTGACAATGATGATTGACGTTCGTTATATAGTTTTTTTCGGCTCGCGCCTACTCGACGACGATATTGCACCTACGTTTACATACGTATAATGAGATCTTTGACGTTTTATCCTATTCTCGAGTTGTAAACATCAATTTTCGTTTGACAATAATTCAGCGATTATAACCGATTCGTCGTCGTACGTCAGACGTATAGAGGAGAGTGTGTACAAAAAAAAAAATTCGTGGTAATGAGATTTTTCGAAAACATTCGTAGTAACGATGACGTATAAACGAATGCGACGTTAGGTTCAAAGGAAAAATCGATGCGCAATTAAACATTTATGCTACTCGGACTTTCGAGAGTATACACGGGAGAAAAAAGCGAGGCAGTTAACGAACGTTAACGATCATAAGAATCGCATCATTGAACTTCTTACGCGTTCTCATAAGCTGCGATAGTTTATTTACTATTTTAAACTACGAATTACACAAATCATCGCGTGGAGGCTACCGCGCGTGTAACGCCACCGTAAATTATACGTATCGTCACTTTTTCGTCACTCTTGTACTTCTGGTCGAAAAAAAAAGAAGAGCGACAACATTTTAAAATTCATTTGACACGAGGCGCGCTCACTGCGCTCCACATAGAAACAATTATGATCGCGCGCAGTCTTTTACAACAAGAAACGAATTATCATAGATCCGACTTTTTTTGCGTGTGTCGTTGCGTTGTTATAAATTCACATCCGAGGATAAGGTCGGCCTCATGAATATTTAAATATATATCTCTCTTGTCATTTTTTTTCTCTGCGATCTCTACTGTTTTCGTTTTTTTCGCTTGACGCACTTGGTCTACCACAAAATCGTCACGAGCATATAATAAATGTATACCTATACATTTATTCGAGTGTGAGATTTTATATATACGTATATAATATAATACGAGCTGGACCCACGACAGAAAACGATGATGTTCTCGCTCGCGCGCGCGGGCGAAGGAAAAATACTTAACTGCCTCCTAATGGCGCACCCTATGGAAACGTTGCTGCTACGTTCGAGAGGCCTTTGATCTTTGCTTCTCGTCTTGTTTTTCTTCTTGTGATTTCGATGCAAGGTGATACACACGCATGTATATATAATACGAACGCTGCACTCGGTTAATGACTCGGCGCTTCTCTCTCGTGCGCCGAAATTTCCAGGACGTTTATGGCGCACGCGAGAGGATCATCGGCGTCACGAGTCGGGTCGTCTCACGTGCATTCGGCAATATAAATGTGACTAAACGATATGCACTAAAGGGTCCCCCCGTTGTCGTCTCGTGACTAATCGATTAGAAGCAATTTATTATGCCTGCGTAAATTAAGTTAATTATTACCCTGTCGCAGCAGCAGCAGCTTGTGGACTTGGACTCGGTCGCTCGCGAAATTTCCACGCTTTTTTGTCGAGTTCTGTGTAGAAAATATATGTATACGAGCCTGTCAGGCTGCATTCGAGGCAATCCAGAGGACCGCGATCGGATTCCACGTAAACAATAATCAACGCAGACACACACACGCGTGCACGTGAGGCTCGTGCGCGCGCGAGGCGAAATTCATCAAGTTTAAACTCGAGTAATAGTACTACTACTGCTGCCAGTAAATAAATCACGAATGAAAATTTTTGCCTACTTTTATGGGTCATTGCCAAATAATAAATAATCAAAGCGTTCAAAGGATAATAACAGTTCATTAACTGTTGTTTATTACGCTCAATCAGCATTTATGCACACACATTCACTATACATATACATAGACATACCAACTACATACGCACACTTTACAAATGCATAAAAAAAGGACTAGCGCGTGGCGAGCGATACATTCAAGTTTAAACCATATAAATAATGCGATATTCAACGTGTAAATATCAACGAACGATAACAACGGATATACATATGATACGTAATTTAACATTATGGTTTTTTTGCTCTATATCGAGCTATCGTTTTTTTTTGTTCTCTAGGCTTTGTGGTTAGCTTAACGTAAACGAACTCTATCGTAAAATTTATACTTTTTTTTCGCGATAAAAAAGTAAGAAACACGAAATAAACAAAGAAAAATAGATAAACTAACACGAACAAAAACATCAATAATTCCAATCAAAGGCTACGTGAGCGACCATTAAGTATAATGTTACAGTCATTGTACTGATTAATAATACTGGAAATCCCATTCTGCAACAGAAAAAAGGTTTGATTTTAGTATAGATTTTCAAAAACAATTTCATATTTGTAGCGAGTGAAAATTTCGTACTTGAAAAATTGACAGAAGGTGAAGCGATAGCCGTGCTGTTCTGCCACCCCCGCGCAAACAACATTTGCCGTAGCTCCAATGAGGGTGCCGTTACCTGTGAAAAAAAATTGATTATTTTATTCAAGCTCGAATCATCATCTCGAATAGCTACACACTTACCACCCATGCAAGAGCCAAACGCCAGCGCCCAGACGAGGGGCTGCAGCGGCAGCCGTAGATCTTGATTCTCGGCCAGTCTCGTGGCGATTCGGATCATCATCGTGGCGAGGGGCACGTTGTCGACGAAGGCCCCGGCGATCGAGGACACCCAGAGCAGCAGCAGAATCGCCACCGCCAGTCGCGACTCCTCGTCCACCGACAGGATGATGAGCTCGGTCTTGCTGCCGATCCACGTGATCAGGCCGAGTTTCGTTAACGCCTGTCAACGACGAAGATCGTGAATATTATTTTTTATCGAGTCGATTCGTTAGTTATTTTCTTGTGTGTACCTCCATTAGAACGAACAAGGCCGCGAAGAACAGCAGCGTGCTCCACTCGACTCGAGCCATTATTCCATCGAGATCTTGCTTGTCCGCTATTATCAGCAATAGCAGGACGCCTAAAAACGCCGACCAGCCCAGCGACAGATTAAAATTCGGTATGCTGTGCAGGAAGAACAAAATTATCACCAGCAGCATGGTCATGCCGGACTTGGCGAGGAGAATTTTATTCCTAATAGGGTACTGTCAACACAAAAAAAATTAAATAAATATCACTATTTTTAATTCAATTTTAAGTATATTTTTTCATGCTTACCTTCTCTTTCAATTCCTCCAATGTATTTTTGTAATGATACTCCCGCATGATCGTGTCGTTGTTGAGCTTCTGTTTTAGTTGCTGCAACAAACGTTTGACTTTTTTCTCCAGCGTTCCTCGGACGATACTTTCATCTTTGCTGTAGCTCGATAGACTCGCGGCTGCCCTTTGCCAAATGACTATTTCGTGACGTAAATCCTGAAACACAAATTACGTATACTCTTTAATCGTTTTTCTTGATTAAAAAAACATTTTTATGAGCTTACCTGTACGTCTTGGGGTTCGTCGAATTTCAATACGTCCAAATTCCTGAATATTATACGGAAATATCCGTAAACCACGAAGCAGACAATGACGACACCGGTACCCATATGAGCCATGAACGTACTAAAATTCACTCCCTGAAAATGAAGATAAAAAAAAATTAATGATTCGCGCATCATAATGCGCATTTACGCGCCTGTATACGTACCGCATCGATCACAGCCTTGTTGGAGCAGATGATGACGTTCGGGGGATCACCCACGGGCGTCGTGGCGCCGCCGATGTTCGAGAAGATGAGCATGGTGGTGAGCACGGGCACCGGATTCAGCTGCATCACCTCGCACAGTCGAATCGTGACGGGCGTCATCAGCAGGATCGTGGCGACATTGTCCAGGAAGCAGGACAGGACGACGGTGAACATGCAGATGGTCGTGATGAGCGGCCATATCTTGCCGGACGTGATCTTTGAGAGAGCGAAAAAAATCAATAATTAATCATATTGGAGTGAATTTTTTGGGTATAAATGAAAAATAAATACCTCGTAAGCGTAGACTGCCAGATAGTCGAAAATTCCGGTATCGGCTACTACTGCGACGATTATCATCATCGAGAGTAACAGCAGCAGCGTGTCGATGTCTATCCACGACATTATTTCCGTCATCGTAGGTTTCTTTGACAATTAATCGTTAAACATTTTTTATTTTGTCAATAGCGTAGTTCATAAATTTATTTACATTGATAACGAATTATTTTACCTCGTTCAAAGCAGCCAGGATAGCGAGCGAACTGGTCGATGCCAACATCGCTGCGATCGTCTTATGGATCAACTGTAAAATTATTTATGAAAAATGAGTTACTCGTCCATTGTATAAATGAAATAATTTCGTTACCTCGAAAATAATGAGCAGATACAGTCCGACTAATACGGCAGCCCCCAGAGCGATTCCGTCCTCGGTATTGATGGGCGAGGTATCGTAGTACACGGAGACGGGCATCGTTGAGTTGACGTTGGTTTTGAATTTTAAAAATATCTGTCCTCGACCGAGACTGCAATGAATCACGTCAAATGATAAATGATGTGATCAGTGAAATAGTAGAAATAAAATATTTTACATACTCATTCGGAAAATAATCGATGTCAAATACTTTTCGTTCCTTCTGACTCGGATAAAAGTCGCTGTAAATTGACGGTGGTATTATAGGTAACTTCCAGACTTCCGATATGTTCTGCATGAATAAAAAATTCATCGTTTTACTGTTAATTTTTAATTTTCACGTATTTTACAGTAAACTTTCCTAACTCTAATACCTTGACCGAAGAAAAATTTTTGCCTAATCTAGAATCGTACACGAACTCGAACCATACGCTCAAGTCGTACTCCAGCAGAGTCGCATTGGTATAATTTTTGGTTACGAAGGCTCCTTCCAAAACTACACTTATAATATTCGACTGCGGCTTGCCATGAATCGGTAGATCTAAACATTTAAAAAAAATGAAATCTATAAATCAAGTAAAGAATTTTATTTCATTTAAAGCATACCTTTGATTTCATCGTTTGGCACTGAAATTTGGCTAAAAGTTTCGACTTTTGCCCTCGTAGACATCAGGGCAAACTAAAATCAATATGTGTAATCAATGTTTTACGAAAATTTATAAAAAAAAAATTGATGTAAAGCTGAGAATTTATTTTACTTACAAAAAGAATAGCCCAGCACGAAACGAGCAAAATGAGTTTTATATTCCTGGCAATGGGACTCAGTTTTCTAGCGTGTGAATTAATTTGATTGCTTTCGGTGGTGCTTCCTCTGTCCTCTTCTTGTCTAAATTAAAATATTTAAATAATTCTATCTTTTAATATTCATTCGAACGTTGAATTTATTACAAAATTAACAACTTACACATCGTCCAATAAGCGGTGCGTCAAAGACATGTTGACTACAAAACAACCAGTTCTCGAAGTGCTTGGCTCTCCGAATCTTCATGAAAATCAAATAACAATACATCATAAATAATTGCACGCGAAGAATGGCATAATTGTAACATAAAAAGCTGTAATTTTTCATTAGACAAATGTCTCTCAATATCTCGGTTTCTGTTTACAAACGATGCACCTCACAAATATAGACTTGGGAATCAGCCTCGCGGTTTGAGGTACACACCGAGTAATCTCAAAATTCTAGATTTTTCGCGAAAATCAATATCATCGTCGTTTCTCACTGTGCGGATGCACTCACTTGTGTACGTTGTCGTAATCTCTCTGATAAGCCGCCAAGCTCGGATCGAGCCTGACGGCCTCCGGCAGCCGGCTCCAGATCGACAGCATCTCCTTGGACAGATTGCGAAACACCACCGACGAGTTCGTCATGGACGAGCTGCCCAATTTCTGCGACTTTTTCCTGTAGCATATCGGCGTGCCGAGCTCGCTCTGCTCGTCGTCGCTCGAGTCGCTGAACATCGCGCGACTTTTCTTTTTATTTCGTCTTTTTTTTTCAGCACGATACACACATACGCACACACACAGAACTGCAAGTTTTTGCAGCTATCGCAAACGGTAGTCGCGATGTGACGCGATGAAATCGATGAATTTATACGTGGGGTCTGTAGTTCGCGACGGCCCGTTGACGACTAGTTTATCAATCACGGAATTTCTAAGATAATCCTAGGCCAGCGCTCGTAATTCTCGCAAATCGGGTGTGTTCCGAGGGACTTAGGAAGAGCATAATATTATCATGACACAGAGTGAACTCTGCTTATAGTGTATGTGTGCAAAGAAATATACGATCGCTTTTAGAATCCACCTGACAAATTTTTTTCTCATTGGACTTGGTTGTATCGAACATTGATGATTGTTCTTGGAAATCACAGGAAGCTAGAAAAATGCGCGAACAATCATCATTTTAAAAAATGCAATGAAAAGAATAAAAAAGTGCATACGATTTTTTCGATTTGATCATTGCTACAGGCCTAAAATATTTTTTAAGCAGATTGATTATAATAATTATTACATGAAGTCGCAAAAAACGATAACATCGTGTTTCACCTTTTATTATTTCTTCATTGCTCCATTTTAAGAAAGGATATTCAAATAATATTGAAATTTTTAGTGACGTAATAAGAGCTATTCAATTATACAGGGACAATTTATCAACGGATGAATCCGTGTCTATAAGTTGTAAACAAACAATATGAACATAAACAATCTTGATATGATCTCTTCTTAACTGAAAATTTTTGTAGACAAACGAATTAGTATCAGTTTTGTCTTTCCCGGTGAAACGAGTTTTAATAATACCAAAAAAAATTCTATTCATTCAACTTCTGCAGCACTAAGTAGAAGGAACTATCGGTTAACTTAAGCTACAAAATGAATAAATGTGAGGAGAAATTGGAGCTAGCCATCTCGCAAGATAACTTAAGTGAGGACGACATCGATGTTTTAACCGACAATAGAAGATATTACGTAGATGACGATTTTGAGAAGAAATTTGGATTCGATTCTAATTTGTTTTTACACCAAAAGAGAGTATGCGAAGATCACAAAGATTTTGCGTGCGAAAAGTGTGCGAATAAATCTGGACATAAACAGTATGTGATCAATCACCAAAAGATAATAAACGAAGGTCGCAAAAATTACGCATGCAACAAGTGCGCCAAGAAATTTGGGAAAAAATCGTATTTACTTTTGCATATAAGAGCAGTCCACGAGGGTTGCGAGGGTTTTGCATGCGAAAAATGCGAGAAAATATTTGGAGAAATATCGAGTTTGCTCTTACACCAAAGAACGGTGCACAAAAGTCGCAAAGATTTTACATGCAACGAGTGTGAAAAGAAATTTGGTCAAAAAAGGGATTTACTCTTACACCAAAGGGTAGTACACGAAGGTCGCAAGGATTACGCATGCGACAAGTGCGAGAAGAAATTCGGACAAAAAGGGCAATTTCTTATTCACCAAAAGACAGTTCACGACGGTCGCAAGGATTACGCATGTGACAATTGCGAGAAAAAATTTGGAAAGAAGTCTAATTTGCTCGTTCACCAAAGGTCGGTACACGAAGGTCGCAAAGATTTTGCATGCGCCAAGTGTGAGAAGAAATTTGGACACAAATCGAGTTTACTTTTGCACCAGAAGACGATACACGAGGGTCTAAAAGATTTCGCATGCGACAAATGCGAGAAGAAATTTGGAAAAGCATCAAATTTGTTTCAGCATCAAAAAACAGTCCATGAAGGTCGCAAAGACTACGCATGCGACAAATGCGAGAGGAAATTTGGACAAAAACCGCATTTGCTCTTACACAAAAAAACAGTCCACGAAGGTCGCAAAGATTACGAATGCGACAAATGCGAGCAGAAATTTGGAGAAAAATCAAATCTAATAAAGCACCAAGGGATAGTTCATGAAGGTCGCAAGCCTTTTGCATGCAACCAGTGCGAAAAAAAATTTGGGTATAAAAATCATTTGCTTTCGCACATAAAAACCGTCCACGAAGGTCGGAAAGATTTTGCATGCGACAAGTGTGACAAAAAATTTAAGGATAGAAGAAATTGGAAAAGACATCAAAATACAACCCATGAAGATCGCAAGGAATTTGCATGTGACAAATGTGAAAAGAAATTTGGACAAAAATCGGATTTGCACTTACACCAAAAAACAGTCCACGAAGGTCGTAAAGAATTCACATGTGACAAATGCGAGAAGAAATTTAGACTTCGATTTAATTTGAACAGACACTACGAAAAAGCGCTTAAAGATTGTAAAAATAACGAACGCAATGAGTGAATCTCGTACTTAGAACCACTTCGTCAAGTTAATTCAAAAATATATTTAATCTAGAAATATTTTCCTTCGTTGTATCATGCGATACAATTTTTCAATGTGAACATGTCGATACATTAATTTTTTACATATTTTATGTATTGAACAATTCTATGCATATATTTGATCGTCAGTAAATGTTTTCATCAAAAATTTGTTTAATTATAAATAATTTAAAGCAATGTAGATTAAAATTTAATTCACACATTTTTCTAGCTGCCCGACACCTACAAAAACGATAACCAATGTTTCTACCAAGCGTTCAATTAAAAACATAAAACAGACCCGTTTTTAACCAAAAATTGGTCAGGGAAATTCTATAATTGCTCATGTACATAAAATTTAGTAGAATAAAGTTGATTCAATGATCTCGTGACAAGTTGCGATCGTTGGTATTTTCGCTAAAACGGGATACAATCTTCAATGATACGCGAATGTTTTTCCGACCCAAAAGTATAATGTCGTTAACAACGAAAACAATTAAACAAGTGTTCTCGAACGATAATCGATTATCACAATTTATTTGTTCAACTTTTTAGGATGTTTGTGCAATCCATCGATTAATTTTTCAGCAAATAAGCTTGAAAAATTTCGATCGACGAAATTTTTACGTAAGAACCTCATTGATGAGAGAGATTTATTTTTTGTTATTTATTGAATTACGTATATTTTCTTCCATATGAGCTTGATAATCGATAACTAGCATTTACTTTTAATATAGGTTCGAATGTCATGATTGTAATTTTGCTTTATCTAATAAGTCTAATGTTTTATTTCCTTTCATCCCTGAACAAATATTCAGCAGAGATTTCGAACGGAGCAATAATTGTAAAATGTCAAATGGAACTGCAATCGTCAAAAATTTCGTGAAGTCATTGTGATTACACTCGAGCCTCTCGCGGCGTAAGAAATATAGACACAGGCGCATCATGGAGTAATTTTTTAATTAGCAACAATCAAACACTACTTACGTACACACATTTAACGAGAATTGATGTATTGATATCAATGAGTTCACGTGAAAGTGTTTGTTTTATTTGGCGCTTTTTTTTCTGAAGAGCACCGAGAGAAGTCATACGTGCGATTTCGGGGATCGGCTGCCATAAGCTCGGAAAAAGTTGAAAGAATCGCATCGTAACTCGTGAGTGTGTGCGCGTACAAAAATGTTGAAACTTTTCGCGTTGCTATTGGGGTTCGGAGTAGTGGGTGTTTGTAAGTTAGCCTACAGTTGTTAACCTATCTATTATTAAATTATATCTTTGCGTCGATATTTTTTTTCAATTTGTAAATTTTTGGTGATGCTCTGCGTACTTTTCCATAGATGGCCAAACGATGAAGTGCATCCCTGATAAAATTTTTACCTACGATCACAATGTGTGCTACTGCAACGAAAACGGCACGGAGGTCACGTGCAAGAGGAAAATGTTTACCACCCTTACACCCGAACTGCATCGAATCCAATTTCAAAGTAACTCGAACCTTTACATTGTCACAATCGAAATTTCGTAACGATTTTAATTACAATCGTGCGCAATTCTTTTTACAGACATCACCGTTAAATGTGAACCCAACGAGACCTTCAAAGACATTTGCCGAGACTGCATCTGCCACGAGAGTGGAAACTACGCCTCGTGCCTTGGTCGAAAATGCCCCAGAGCGGAGGCGAAACTAGGTAAACCATAAACGTATTTGATTATTGTTTAAAGAAACATGGAATTTAGAGCAGTTTTGATGTAAATCAGATAATAGAATTGAAGTAAATAATTCCGAATTTTATTAGGTGAAATATTTGTTTAAGTTGAATGTATCAGTACAATTAGCAATTTACGCTTGCTAAACATCAGCGTGGTTGATGTATGTGTTAATTTCAGTTCTTAATAGGCATCGCGTTAATTACTTCATCTTGGATAAAATCCTATATTTGCTAAAAAAAAGTAATGGTTTTTTTTAATAACTGCACAAGAAATACATGAAAAAACGGCGATATTCATTGTTTTAATACCAAAATTAACTAACTAATTGATATAAGGTTAAATTCTATACTTTTTAAACATTTTGATTGAAGTTGCTCGTGAAATCCATGAAAACTTAATCGTAATGCCAACATCCACCACTAGATGGCGAGTACCTTTATTTGTGAATCTGCAAGTAGTAAAGTGAAAATAGTTGTATAATTAGAAGCGAGAAATACTACGTCTCCTTACAAAATTTCTGGTGTTATATAAACGCAAATTCAATTTAATTGGCTATCCTAATTTCAAATGAAGAAATTAAAAAAATAACTACATAAAAATTAATGTAATTCAAATTAAAATTTGAGAATTTCATACGGCAATTCACATGTAAAAAAATCTTCCAATTTATACTTAATTAACTCATACGTAATTTTTAGAAACTCGTGATAAGTGCACCCCTGGGTCGGTATTCAGCGATAGATGCAACGGTTGCATTTGCGGTTCTAATGGTACGGCAGTTTGCACTAAATTGGATTGCCGACAATTCTCCACTAATACGAGTAAGTGAACGAAATATTTTTTATGTTACATGCGACTTGACTCCCATAAAATGATTATCATTTCCCCCAGATGAAACCCAGTGCGTGCCTAACTCTTTCCTCATGCTGCAGTGCAACGAATGCCAGTGCTCGGAAAATGGAAAGTCAATGGACTGCAACAGAATGGGCTGCGAATCGTTTTCCTTCCATCACTCGCACATTTTGAGTAATGAGATCTTTAATTCGCACAATACTTCTTTCATTCATTTTTATAATCGAAATTTAAACGTTCTCTCGAAGACATGACGATAACCTGCGATCCTACGACGATTTTCCAATACAACTGCCATCATTGTCACTGCGGCGAGACTGGGAAATTCGCCATGTGCAGCGGAATCGCATGTCCACACGAGCACGACATGACGACAGGTAAGGGTAAACGACTAAACAATCAGCCGACATTTTTGAATTTAATTATGGGAAATTTCGTCGCTTCCGCAGTTTTGGACACGGTGGACAATTGCAATCCGGGAGTGATCTTCGCCGACGACTGTAACGTGTGCGTGTGCGGTGACGACAAGCGAGGCGTCTGCACAACGTTCACCTGCGATCTCAAGTACGGATTCAAATACGTGGATAATTTGAATTTGGCCTCTCACTAGATAACTCGGCGGATCACATGATTTTTGATCAATGATTTCTTCGTTTTTTTTTAATAATAAAACAACGCGTTTATTACGTAAAAGCGAAGCTCGACTGCATTTAATCTGCCGGCAAACATTTTGACGATTCGTAAAAATCTTTCCGGAAACTCTTACAAATATTTGCACGGAGATATCGTGGATCAATTCTGCCAATAACTTGTGTATATATAACAAAGAATTTAACTATAATTAACATATTAACTGCGTGTTATTTTGTTTTTCCTGATAATGTTAATTGTTTATGTGTAGATTATTTAAGATCCTAAAGTGTACCCAATAATAACTTTTCCTTCGTGAGAATTATTATGCATTGTTCTACCGATGGATCAATCCATTATATTACTTAGCTCAATAACATAATACGTATACAGCCGGTATGTATCTCTATTTATGTATAATGCATTAAAAAATGCTAATAAATAAAAGCAGGAAGACATTATTCTACCGGCCGAGTCTATCTTATTTATTCATTTGAACGTATATGCATCTCCAACATATATATTTATATTTCATTACAATGAACTGGCGTCACGAAGATCCCCGAGCCGCTACTATCGGTGGCCTTCTACTTCTATAAAGGCTAATTTACCTATGCGATATATATATTTTTCTTTCTCTCCATAAATCGCGCTTTATAATCATTCCCAAGAGGTTTCGGGGATAACGGTTTCGATGTATATTATCATAATACCGATACGATCGATCGCGTGTATGTACGCCGCGTCACGTAGGCAGCGCATCATCGCGGCTCCGACTTTTTCGAAATATATACAATGTATATTTTTAGATCCTTTGCGAAATTTTTATTTATATTTTGTGTATACGGTGTATTGGAATTTCGATACGACGCGCGTTTATCAATCCTTATAATTGGAAACGATTAATTTTCATGTATACAGAAATAAAATACGATACGAGCTCGTCTGTATACCAACGATACCCGCGATAATTTCAAAGTGGGCGAATAGAAACAAAACAAAGGCGCGCAATAGCAGTAATCACCACGTGTTATGTGCATTTTCTTATTGCCTGCACAGGTGCCATAAAAATTACTGAAACGGATTTTCTCGGAGTGCCAACGATCGCGAGCGATGATATTATGTATTACATATGTAAGCCAGTGTATATTATTGTGTACACATATATACGTCATTGTCACGGTCACGCTTCTTCCTCGACCTTATACGCCTAGATGTGCTCGTACGTGCGTGTCTGTGTGTGCGCGAGGTATCTGGACGATCTGATTGGACAGGACTATTGACGCCGTAGCGGTCACGTGTGATTTTTTTTCTCTCTTTTTCTTTTTATGTATTGCACGCACGTACGGAGAGACACACAAAAATTAAGCGGCGTTTATTAGACGCGATATATCCGCGCGCGCGCCTCGTGCGAATTACATTAAAATCCGCACTTTAAAGTATATAAAAGGCGAGGAAAATCTCGGTCGAGTCGTTATTCCTCGCGAGTTGTTCGGGTGCACGCAGTTTTTTTTTGTGACGAGATCGACCACGACTTGCTGCTGTGTGACGTGTGCCGTGTGCGTAAACAAAATGAGATTCATAACTGTTGTCTTCTTCGCCGCTGTCATTGCGTTCGGTAAGCCCTCGGAAAAACCAAAGATCCGAGCAATCGGATGCTCTTTCGATAACTGATATTAGTTTTATTATTTTGAAGCCGCTGCGTACGAGATCACCGAGAGCAATCCCAAGTTCGGCGCGATGGGTAAGTAGATGCATTTTTTGTGTGATATTGATAATTTGATTTTGTTCGCAAGATGTGTAATGATAATCAATCGATGCTCTTAAAATTTTTACTGCAGCTTCCAACATGAAAAATCGAGTTTGCGTGCCGAACACGTATTTTACCAAGGATTGCAACACCTGTAACTGCGCCGACGATGGATTGTCATTTTCCTGTTCCGAATATCCGTGCCCACCACTCAGTCAGGTAAACAATAGCAGCTCGAAGAGATATGTTGCAATGAATATTATCACATTCAATGGAAGATTCGGAGATTGTTAACGTCTTCAAAATTTGTATTGTAAAAATATACATCATCATCAAAGATGTCACATTTGATTGTGAGCTTTTTGATTTGATCAACAGATGGGGTATTGTAAATCCGAAAGTGTCAAAAAAAAATTTTGTATATATTAATATATACATACCCATTTCAAAATATTAATTCAACGTTATTAAATGGTGTATTTATGCTTTATTAATCAATTAATCGTTGTTTCAGGAGGACACAAAATCGTACTTCTGATGAGAATAATCAACTTTTCTATGATCAGAAAAAAATCATACTAAACGATCAAATCGGCTGAAACCAAAATGTGATATTGATAATTAGATGTGTACAAAATTATTACTATGGTATTGTTATTCAAGAAATAAAAATTTATTTTGTTATTCGAAAAAAAATATCTCAATTTCAATCACTTCATTCCGAAGTGATATCCTCCCATACGAAAATCAACAGAACTTTATTGGCGCGTGGTTGTATCACTGCTACGTAATCGATTATACCGATTGTCGCGATGCGGATGTAAAGAGCGCACATTAAAATTCATCGTAGAGGCAATAAAACTGAATGAATGCAAGTTAATGTGTTTTATCATTAATAATAGATGTCAATCTTGTCGTCGCGTAAAATAGAAAAATACTCCGCGATTCCATGTCTTTCATTACATTCTTGAGCAAAATAACGACTCGCGGTTAAAACGTAATCGATTTTGATTTCACATAAAAATGACCAATTTTGCATCGAACTCGCGAGTATATGCACAAGGATAATATATATCGGCGATTGTCAACGCGCGCGCGGCGTACTTTCCATATGAATCATAGGCTAATAATATTCTCAGAAAGTCGCTGACGTTGAGAAACGTGTATATACATTGTCCACGCGAATATCACGAGTATTTCGTTTCAACGACTTTCAAGGTTTTTGATTTTTAAAAAGCACATCTCTCTCGTGTCGTCGAGGAATGTGTTGCAACTGTCGGTACGCATCTTCGATAATCCATTGACAATACGAGTAATCACATAAACCGGCCAAATCTAGACTCAATACGGTCGAAAGTTAGAAGAAAAAAAAATAAAATAAAAACATCGAGCGAAATACCGGATCTCCCGTTATTCTAATGAGGATTGCCTTGGCAAATACCGGTAATTAGCTCGGCAGAGATGTATTTCGAATGTGCGTACGGACCTCGCGGCGCGTGCCCTCTCCATGACTTCTTTTTTTGGGAAAAAATAAGGAAAAAAATTGAAACTAGCTCGGCTACCTAAATTTTTAGCTCTCGTTAAGCCAGTAGTTTACGTAAGAAAGTCATCTATAGGTGACGCGCCGCGCGAGGCGTATCGAGAGTGACCCGTGTAGCGCTGCGCGCAGCAGAGTGAACTCTTTTTTTTTTATTGTTTTAGTGATCAAGTTGCATAGAAAAATGAAGCCTTTAGTTTTTTTAATTGCAGTCGTGTTGAGCGGCGTGGGTATGTACAAACGCATACATTTCGACCGCCAAGATCAAAACTCAAGATTATATCATAATTTTTTTTTTCGAATTCCCTCCGCATATAGTGGCGCAGACTCAGAGTTTATCTGAAAGATCAAAGAGAGCCCCGGTAGAAGGTAAATTCGACATTTTTTTTTCACACAAATGTCAAATAATCAGTCGATAATAAAAAAAAAAAAATTGTACAAATTACATCGTTCATTTATAGAAGTATCCATCCCAGCTGCATCGATACCCCCGATAAGAGCATGTAAGGATATTTAACGAGTGTTAATATTTAAATCGGTTGAAAAAAAAAAACGATTATATTCCTCTTGCAGCTTTGTGCCCGGAACCAAACAACTATAAGGTGGATGCTTGCAACTGGTGCTACTGCGATCCGACGAACGGTCACACCAGCTGTGGGAGAAAACCGTGCCCAAAAGAAACACCGACCACGACGACGACTGAGCCACCTTCGGTGGTCACCGACACGTGCCCCGAAGGCACCCGCTTCAAGAGGGGCTGCAACGAGTGCACGTGCGAGCCGGAACTCGGTATCACTCAGTGCACGACGAAGAGTTGTCCCCGCACCGAGAGGCCAGAGTTCTCGGGTAACTATTGAACACTATGATTAATTCTCAAAAAAAAAAAAAATGTATTTTAGATACGACTCAGGCTTTTTTATTGAAAATGTAAGTTATCTGAGAGGTTGCAGAACAGAAAACAGAGTATCCACACTTTCAAAATACACATTTTATTTTTATTCTTTAACGTTAATATTAATATGATCAACATATTTTACCAAAAAAACGGATAATTTCATCGTCTATTACAAATTTGTGAACCAGACTGCCTCTCATGAATTTATTGTCATTGGTAAAATTTACCTGTTAAAATAAGTACTGATTAATTTTTTTTTTTTACATATAAACTGCGCACCACAAAATTCAAACCCAAAATGAACAAAAAAAGTTCATTTTAATACTCAAATTTGAACATTTCATGAAAATTCAATCTTGATTTAAGCCAACCTCTGCCACAAGATGGCGAGTACGTCTATCGGTGAATCTGCAAGTGGCAAAGTCGAAATAATTGTACAAGTCAAAGTATTAAGTTCTATTATTAAGTTTATTGGGTTTTAAGTTGTAATATTAGGACGGCCGTGCAATTTTTTCCCCCTACAAATTATTACTTATTATAATTTATACACGTAAATTTATACACACGAAAATAGGAATAATAGCTTTTTTGGAAGAAGCTCTCTATATCAATGTATGAGAAATAATTCTTTCGATTTTGCAAACGATCGCATCAATGATTTCAACATTGTAAACTATTATTTAATGAAAAGTGAGAAAGCACTGGGGAAGTAGAATTTAAAAAAAATTCGGAAAATATTTTTCTGGGTATATTGCTTCCTCATAGAGGGAGCTCTGTGATAGGCTCGAAAACGAGATTTTGAACCAGACGTCGTAGGACAATTTGGTTTACATATTTGGAAACTAGTAGGAGTAATCCCTTAACGTATCCATCGGGTCATTCTTCTCGATTTCTTCGAGAAACGAGGGCCAATACTTCTGGACGAATCTCGCCTCCTGGCTCACGCCAATTATTCGATCGAAGCTCGGCGTGTAGGGCGAGCCCTGGCGCATGACGAAGGCCCGATTGATCGAAAACAAGCTTGGCCTGTTTTCATCCGACTGCCGGTGCGCGTCGCCGAAAAAGTACAAAATTTTGCATTGTCCCGTTATGCAGCTGACGTTGAGCAGCCAGTCCAAGCACGTCCTTGGGTTCGTGTACTGTCCCTGGGGTGCTTTTTTGACCTGCGCATATTTGTTATTTATTACTCAGAAAACCAATCAAGGTTGAAAATGGTTAGTCAAAAAAATTATTTATCAAATAGTAAATACTTTGCATTTATTAATCCAATTCATTATTAAATAATAAATACAAAGTACTTTTCAATTGAAATCGATAACAACTAGTAAATCAAAACCAATTATTAATTGGTTCGAGTTGATGACATAAATTAATTTAATTGTTACTTGAAAATCAATTAAACAAATTTCAAATAATGAATAATTTCATGGGCTGGTTTTCTCATCAGCATCAGTGCATTCAAGGGTTGATAGGAGGCTTAAATCTTTTTATAATTCTATGTATAGTATTTAAGCTGAAAAAGTGCAACACAATTGCTTCCTAATAGAGGAAGTTATGTGATAGGCTTGAAAATGAGATCTGGAACCAGACGTCGAAGGAAAATTTGGGTTACATATTTGGAAACTACTTTGAATTATCAACAAACGTCTGTATGTGCGTGTGTGTGTCTTCTCGGCCTTTTGACTAAGATAGATGTGTAAATAGATAGAATGGAATTTTTCACCAGTAATCTCTAAGTTATTTTGGAGTTTCGTATAAAAAAATGAAAACGGTTCAAAATTGAAAAATGAAAAACGGATTTCCCCTTCAATAATCAAACCCTTTCATTAATGTAATTTTTTATGAGGAAAGTTTTTGCTAATAAATTGGCAGCAGTTTTTAGTTATCAACAAGTTTTATTAAACAAAAAAAATTTTTATTTAAACAACGTACAAAATGTGCAAAACATTAAGTAACATTGGAATAAAATGGAACCTTACTAATAGCATATGTTAATTTAAGCTATTTTGGAGCTTTCTCCGCACATCCTTCGCACTGACATTCTATCATATTCGTTATTGAATTTTTCTTAAGATCCTCATCATTTCGTCTATCAACCGCCAAACAAATATTATATAAATCTTGGTTCGTCAGCTCCTCGATGATCATGTCACAGCAGAGAATCGGCAGTCGATAGTGTATCAGTTCCCAGAAAGGATCCAGTGCCCAACGTTGGAAAAATCTTCTCAAAATTTTCTCACACAGATGCGCGATACAAGCCTTTCCGTTATTACTGTTCAAGAGCCACCAACAATTTGTCAATTTCCAGATGTTTGGCTCGTCCGTACGGGTGAGCTGTTTCACCAACTCTCTGGGTTGCAGCCGAATCAAGTCGTAGAGAGACAGACTCGAGCCTATCATTGTTTTTTTCGTATCGATCGCGAACAGCTCCCCGTCGTGATACCAATACTCGTCGAGATTCGCCGCCGACTTCATGAAGAATCCGCGCTTGTCGAATACTTTCATGAGCATCGAGGCGTCGCTTCGATCCAGCTCGTATCCTCTCTTCTCGAGACGTTCGAGGCAGGCCACGAAGCCGCACGACAAATTCAATTTATCGAAAAGATCAAGCGCGTAAAACGATTCGAATCTGGCATCGATGGAGCTCTCGGTGGGAAAAACGAAGTTGGACAGATCGGCGCCGCGATCCAAGAGCACACCAACGCAATTCGGCCAAAAATTCGCCACGGCCAATTGAAGCGGTGTCCGGCCCAAATTGTCTCGAGCATCGACTCGTACCGTCGCTCGACCGACATCGTCGACCATCTCGAAGAACAGCTTCATCGTGTCGTCGTCTTTTCTTCGCCGCGTAATAATGACGTGCAAAGGAGTCGATCCCTCGGCGTCGGCCGAATTCGGGTCGGCGCCTCTTCGCAGCAGCAACTGGACGCTGCCGGGATCGTGACGCAGCAGAGCGTAGTGCAGCGGTGTCCTGCCCTGCTCGTCCGCGGCGTCGATCAGCACCGTTCGCCGAAGATCGTCAACAATCTCAAAGAACAGCTGCGCCAAGTTATCGTACTGGTTCGTCTGCTGGCAAATGAGATGCAAAGGTGTCAGTCCTCTCTTGTTCGGCAGATTCGGACTGGCGGCTTTTCTCAGCAGCAACTCGACCGCGCTTCTGAAGCCGCGAGACAGAGCCAAATGCAGAAGTGTGTTGCCTATCTTGTCCTGGGCGTCGATCATCCGCACCAGATGATGTTTTTCATCAGCGATACGAAGCAATCTAGTCGCACAGGAATCATTGCTGCGACTTGATAAAATCATTATTTGCAGTGCATTGGATCCGAACGCGTTGACCAACTTTGAATCCGCGCCGTTTCTCAGAAGTAGTTCGACCACTGCTGTTTGGCCACTGTTCGCAGCCACGTGAAGCGGCGAATTGCCCGATCTGCACTCGACGCAATCGAGATCGTGGCCGAGCTCGATGAATCTCTCGACGACGCGTTGGCAGCCGAACATGCAGGCCACGTGCAGATGCGTGAGGTTAAACTCGTCGGCGCAGTTCACGACGAATTTGTCGTAAATTTTAAAGAGCCTACCGACCTCGATATCCCTGTGAAGACGACAACTTTTGGCCGCACGATGTATAGGTGTGGAGCGACGTGGCGAGGATGACTCGCCGGGCTCGTCCTTGTATCCGGTCTTGATCACGAACTCGACGAGTGGAACTAGATTATAGTGGTAATCATTGACCATCCCCACGAATCTGACGGTATCCGAGAGAATACGGTCGATATCTTCGGGTCGAAAGATATCCCGGAGATCCGGGAGTTGACCTTTCCATTCTCTGATCAATGCGTAAAGTTCATGAAGAAATTTGCGTCGCTCTTGCATATGTTTCTCTTGCTCTTGTACATGCTCTAGTATATATTTCGAATAAACACTCTCTGCGGGTGGTAGGATATCTTGGAGATCTGGAGGTTGGCTTTTCCGTATTTCGATCAATGAGCTAAGTTTATCAAAAAGTGTGTGTCTCTCTTTATTGTGTTTCCAACTGACACTGTCTCGCAAAATTTTCAATTTTTTTAAGCACTCCTGATCGTTTTCAGCCATTGTTCTATACGAACTCGCCCACGAATAAAATAAATTATGAGTTTAAATATTTTTTCTCTTTCACAAAATAAACTTGCAGCGGTCTGAAAGTGATCTCTCTCTGACTACACGTAGTATTACACTGCAACGTATACTACGGACTACGGTGTAACTAACTCGTGGGCGGAACTAAAAAAATACAGTAGTTTATACAGTCAGAAAGTTGCGCGCGCATCACGTTGCCGGACAGTCAGAAAGAAAATGTATGAATTTTTTTTATTCTTACTTGCGTTTAGTCGTTTATAAGTTTTTTGTAAATTATACTTTGCTACTTGTAGAATTAAAGATAATGGTGTACGTCGCCATCAAGCGGTAGAGGCTGCCTTTAAGTGTACGATTAAATTTTTTGTACAATTAATGAAAGAATAAAATTAAAATACAGGAAAATTAAAACTCAAGTAGTGATTTAATGAAATAATAATTTTTTGCTTCTTCATCGAGGAAGCTTGGTGATTGGTCCAAAATGTACTTTTGTATCTCATAAATTGCGATTAATATATTTGTATAATAGACAGAATTTGTGACTGATGGCAGGTATTTATGTATATGTGTGTAGATGTATGTAGAATGAGTTTTTTCGAAAACGGGACGGTAAATCTTACTGAAAAAAATTGTATTTATTGTCGTTATTGTAAAGATGAAGCCCAAAAAAGTTTTATATCGATCTGTTTAATATTTCAAAAACTATTACAAATTTTCATATTTTTTTTTACTAAATTTTTTTGAAAAAAATTTTTTGTCTGATTATTTTAACGATGAAAGTGTTTTTGATGCATTTTTGAGTATTAATTTTGAAATATAAGCAGATAAGCTTTTAATTAAGATAAAAAACGTTAGGATTCATCGATTATTTTAAACATTACATCGTGAAGAAAAAAAAGGTTTTTCTCTTTATTTTTCGGAAATTTTAGTTTCTTTCATAGGGTTGGATCGACCGACGCGAGATTTCGATCACTCATGAAGTGAGGCCCCGTTACTCCTCTACCAATGCGAGGTGAAGAATAAAACGACTTCACATGATTTTTTTAAGGAAGGATTACATCGTGAAGAAATTTTAGTTTTTTCACATGGTTTAATGGTGAATTATTGCTGTATTAGCATTTATGAACAAAATATGAACGATAATTTTTTTACGAGGAAGCTCTTTGCCAACGAATTGGCAGCGGTTTTTTTTTATTACAGTAAAATGATTAAAAGAACGCCTTTTAGCGTATAATTACGAATTTTTTCGTAAAGTTGGCTATAATTTAATTGAAGTTGCGAATTGGAGTCTAAAAAAGTATTAAATTGAAAAAAGGAAAATTGATATTCATTTAAATAGAATAATTTGATCGAACAAAAGAGCTTTTGTAAAAAAAGTATTTTATACGCTGTAATGACTATAGTCTATTTTTGTTGAAAAAGTCTAACACTATTGTATAACTACATTTCTACTTATGTACCCCGCTAAAACTAAGCCCTACTGTAAAATTTATCATTTACGTTTTGTAAGAGCTGCACAACTCGGAAACCGCGTGACTGGGTGCTGCCTTCAGTTTCCCGAATTTGCTTGAGTTTTCATTTAAATTAAACCCAAAAACCACTATACTCGATGTTAAAAGATCTAATAGTTTGATTACAGCTATAAAATCATTTAAAAAACAGTTATTTTGAGACATCAAGCTCTGAATATTTGTTGGTCATTTTTCCGATATTATTGAATATTTTTAGAAAATCTGATGCCAACATTGAAAAGTTTTGTTTTACGGCGAGTTAAAAATTGGACAATTAATCAATCAAATAATCCCTTGCGGTAGACCTCAAGTCCAGATCAGGAATCAGCTTTTTTTTAAGGTACTACTTGTTTCAACACAGCGTAACTAGCTGCGTAAATAGTGTATTAATTAATATCCAGCAAAAAAATGTAATGGACGAGATAGAAAAGCGTTACGAAACTTTGAGCAAAGAAAGCCTCAGATTTTTGGGACTGTGGCCAACTCAAGAAAAATCAAAGCGCTACAAAGGCTTCGCTCTTGTGGCCTTTTTCATGATCAAACTGACGATTCCTCAAGTACGTAACGATATAATTAGTCGAATTAAGCATAGATTCATCTATACGGCATAATACATCGCGGTGATTCATTTGTAGTTTCTTTGCATTATTGTGAATCCGGATGACAAATTCATTTTCTTTGAAAATACCATGATTTTGACATTTTATATCATGGTTTCTTCGAAGCACGGTGCAGCTATGGTTAATTTTTCCAAGGTAATTATGCTTCGATTACACTTGAATTGAATTTTTAAAAATTAATTTCATACGGAAAATGCGGGATTTTTCCAGGTGAAGGCTCTGATGTTGAGTATCGACGAGTTAAAGAAACCATTTACGGATCCTCATGAACTCGAATTGATGAAGAAATACGAGGGGCAAGGATTTCTTTTAGCTCGAATATACGCCAGTAAGTAAAAATCCAATTGACAATCACATTCAAATAGCTTTCATGATGCATATCGATGACATATGTGAAAAGTCATCATGCTTATTACCGTTTTGGTATATAACATGGTGCCCTTCGTGCCTCCTTTTCTGGACGTCATCTACCCTTTGAAAAGTGGTCCAAGGCCCATAATATTGCCATATCGAGGCGAATTCATTTGGTTCAAACAGGAAGATTACCATTATTATGTGAGCTTCGTGGCGATCTTCGATGTTTTGATTTTTTTGCCTGTCTTCGTTGGCATAGAGTCAGTTTATACCACAACAGTCAGAGAAATTTGCGGTTTATTTGAAATTGTTTGGTATTGTATTTTTTCTATTCGCTATTTTTTCAAAAAAAACATTAGTCTGATAGTCAATACTTTAGTATTAGGTTTCAACGACAATTTTCTAGAGCAGAGGGTTCGCCAACATCTGAAATTTCCGATGCAGTGAAATTATACAACGAGTGTGTTAGGTTAACGATTTCTGCAGAATATAATTTATGCGAGTGGTTTTTGTACTAACTCACAAGGAGACCACATGATATGCGGGTCACCACATGTCCTGAAAATTTTTTTCTGGTCTCCTGGTACCTAATCATGAAGTCCCCTTGCTTAGTTTGATCCAATGGGCCTTAGGGCCCATTTAAAAAATCATTTTCTAATTTATTGAAAAATCTTTGTGATTTTCTAACTCGTAACAGGAATGAAAAATTGCACAATGTACAAGTCTTAGAATTAGTCAAAAAATACATTTGAATTTTTTCAGAATTTTTGAGACCCGCTATCACCTATTTTCAAATGCCCAAATTCAACGCGTTTTTACGTTTTTCTTAAGAATTTCAGAGACCTTTGAAAATAGGTGATAGCGAATCTCAAAAATTCTGAAAAAATTCAAATGTATTCTTTGACTAATTCTAAAACTTGTACATTATGCAATTTTTCGTTTAAGATGTCCTGTAACGAGTTAGAAAATCACAAAGATTATTCAATAAATTAGAAAATGATTTTATAATGGGCCCTAAGGCTCATTGGATCAAACTAAGCACAGCGGGCTTCATTATTAGGTACCAGGAGACCAGAAAAAATTTTGTAGGACATTTGGTGACCCGCATCTTATGTGGTCTCCTTGTCAGTGAAGATGGGCTCGAATTATCTACGCATTTGGACCACGTACAATGAAAATTTTTGTTCTAGATGTGTACAATTTTTGGAGGGTACATACAGCATTACAATTTTTACCACACAAATTACTTCTCTGCTGATTTTTTCTCTCTGTGCTATTTATGTACGAGGGTTTTGCTTTTTTTTTTTTGAAACCGTGATTTTTTCAGCTGCATATGCTTAAAAGATTTTAATTTATTGCTTAGATTTTATATGTAAATAACGATGTTTTTAACGGATTAAGATTTAGTACTTTTGGTATTGCCATTCTTATACACATGGGGTATTATTTCGGAATTGGGCAACTGCTAATAAATAGTAGTGATAAAGTCCACTTCAGCATGTAAGAAACTATTTTTTGATTGATTATTTCACTTCTTGTTAATTTTTTTTTACTGCAGTTATTCCAGCAACTGGTTTTTAGCTTCGGCAAAATTGCAACGTTTACTAGTAATGGCGTCTACTCGCACACTTTATCCGTGTTTTATCACGTCAGGAAAATTGAACCCTCTTAATTTGGAATCGTTCGGAACAGTAAGTACACTCATTGATCGAACAGTTTTGATAAGAAAAAATTTTCAAATTTCTATTTTTAGATTTTGAAGAGGATTGCGTCAACGATATCGGTGATGTTAGCTGTTCTTTAATGTGAGCTGTGAGAAGAAATTTGAAGAAGTAAAATGTCCGAAGTGAAACATATATGAAAATATTTTTAGCTCTATGCTTCATACACTGAAGTGATTTTAACATTTAAATAACATCTCTTGAGGTATTGAAACGAAATGATTTAAGTTTGTGAGCTACTATTTTTTTCGAAATATATGTAGATTTAATTTGCTCAAAAAACAACTCTTTGTCATCATTTATATAGCTCAAATAATCCTGGAAAAATAAAACGTTTTCATAAAATAACAGATATAAAGCACCATAGTTGGATTCCTTAAGAAACTGATACACTTCAGATAATTTTGATGTCTCTATAGTGCAGTTTTATAAAATTATTTTGTTAACATAATTGTCAACTAGATTGGTTGACTAGTAGCTTCTAATCTAAGCTAAGGTAAGGCCAACCGCAACCTCTCAGATGTGACTGCGCATAAAAGAAGTGTACAGACATTCAATAAGCTTGGAGCATAACATAAACCACTATAAACTATTAATACTAAATAGTATTCATACTTTTTAAAAAATATATATAGAGTTGGATAAATGAAAAAAATTAATAGATAATTTTAAGTAATTTTTGAAACGATTTTTAAGAATTTCATATCGTACAAAGTCGCGTAAGAACGACACGGAGAAGAATTGTAATAATTTGGTATCAACTTTCATTCCAGCCGGAGCGTGCCCACGCGGAACGACCTACCAGGAGGGCTGCAACACCTGCAACTGCAACGCGGTGAACGGCCTGACGAGCTGCACGCAGTATCCGTGCGACGTCACTTCGAACTCGGTAGTTTCGACGACGACCACCACCACCGAGCGCCCGCTGCCGTTCTTCACCCCTGCGCCCTTTGGGCCCATACCGCCACCGGGTGAGAGAACCGAGAATCCATCGTAGCACGGAGAAGAGATGGTTTTTGTGCTCGTGCTCATTTTTCTTTTTTTTTTCTCAGTCGCAAAGAACTACGATTGTCCACGGGGTAACGAGTACAAGGAGGACTGCAACACTTGCACTTGCGATCCCGTCACCGGAGTCATTTGCACGAGATTCGCGTGCGCTCCGCAAACGGTAACAGGTATGTATTATGTACAACGTAAAATTTCAACTAGTTGATCACGAATGATTCCGAGAAAGCATAATAATGACATTGTAATGTTATTGAAAAGTCGGACCAAACTATACGTGCCCGAAGGGCTACGCGTGGGAGGAGGACTGCAACGTCTGCACTTGCGACGCGATCAAAGGACCAAGTTGCACCAAAAACAAATGCGCTCCACCACTCCCGATCAACCCAAGTACGTACGAGACACATGCTACAGGATCGAGAGAAAAAAATTTGCATTATTATCAGGTTCTTGATCTTCCAGCTGGAAAGACTTACTCGTGTCCAAGGGGTGCGATCTACTACGAGGACTGCAACGTCTGCACTTGCGATCCCGTACACGGACCGGCCTGCGAGCAGAAACAGTGTACTCCGAAAACGACGACGACAACGACGACGACGACGACGACGACAACCCCAAAACGTGCGATTATATACATTTTCTTTCGTTATTATCTATTCTAAATGTGACATGGAGTACATTTTTATTTCAATTTCGCAGCTAATCTCTGCCCGCAAGGAGAGTCTTATCGGATCGACTGCAACTACTGTCATTGTGATCACGATGGAAAAGTATTCTGCACGGAGAGACCTTGCCGTCCCAAGGAAGACAAGGACAGGATTTCAGAGGGTAAGTGAAAAGGTATCATGGACAATTTCAAAAAAAAAAAGAACAATTTAAAATTATCGATAAGGACGTTTTTTTGTTCCTGATTCGAGCAGAAGTAAATCTCTGTCCGCAAGGCACTTCGTACAAGAAACTCTGCAACAGCTGCTCTTGTGATCCGAAAACTGGAGCCGAACTCTGCACGGAACATCCCTGCGATCCAACGAATCCTGAACGTAAAATTAAAAAAAATCCACGTTTTCAAAAAAAAAAATAAGTAATTTAATAAGGAATAATAAACCGAAAAATTTGATCATTGTTATCAGGAATAAACATGTGCCCGATGGGCCGCATGTACATGAAGGATTGCAACGTTTGTTTATGCAATGCGGCGACCGGCCTGGAACTGTGCACAACCAACACTTGCTCGAAGGTCGATACAAATGGTAATAATACCTCCTACGCCCAAGATTCGCATAATGGAAAATTGTTTTCATATAATTGTTCTTTGCAGGGAAAAATGTTTGCCCACGTGGACAAGTTTACTGGGAAGGCTGTAGCAGGTGCTTCTGCAATCCGGAGAACGGTTTGACCAGCTGCGATCAGAAAGACTGCCCGCAAAAAGCTGTGATTGAAACGAGCACTCAAGAACGTAAGTTAACGCCCGCACGCATACACATTCGCAGTTGTCTATTGAAAATTAATCACGATTTTTACTTATTTCCCCGGCATATAATGTATATTGTTGAATAATTTCAATTTCAGCTGAAGTCAAGTGCCCTCGGGGCTCGAACTACACAGATGAGTGCAGCCCGTGCACGTGTAATCCAACAAACGGTTTCACGTCTTGCAATTATACGCCTTGTGATACAAAAATCTCATTGTGCCCTCGAGGTTTGGCTTTTGAAGGCAAAGAGCTTGAAGGGGGATGCAAAGAAAAATGTGAATGCGATCCATTAACCGGTCATGTTATGTGTGCTGCGAACAGTTGTAACCCCCCCATCGTCATACGTAATATTATTATAAAAGATCAGTGCTTGTCTTAAAAACATTGGTTGAAAAAATGAATCGTTTTTCTTTTTTAGCCCACCCGGAGTGCCTTCGAGGTTTGGATTACGAGACCGATGAAGATACAAATGGATGCAGGAAAAAATGCCAATGCAATCCGACAACCGGTGTAACATCTTGTTATACAGATTGTACTCCCCGAATCATAAGTAATATTTCAAAGATGATTAGTATTCGATTTAAAAAAAAAAAAAAAAAGAAAATCATGCAAAAAATCATTAAAAAATCACTTTTCATTTCTAGATATCATCAGTTACTGTCCAAAGGGTGAGCTTTATGATGTTGATGAGGAGTGTAAAAGATGCGAATGCCGTCCAAATGACGGTCAAACCAAATGTGTTCCCAAATCTTGTCCTGACCAATTCTCAAGTAATATCTTACACAAGATTAAATGCTTATGACTTGGAAAAAAAGTAATAAAAAATTATCATTTTTATCTTAAAGCTCCTTTCAGGGACCCTTGCCCAGAAGGTCCACATTTTAACATCGATGGGGGATGCAAAAGATGCCACTGCAGTCGAATAACCGGTGAAGTAACTTGTTACGTTAAAGAAACTTGTCGTGCCCAGTACACAGGTAACACTACAATAGAAGATTATCACTTGACTTGAAAAAAAAAAAGACATTTCGATTGATTTTTCTATTTTTTTCATTTTTTTTTCCTTTGCACTCGTATTATCTCGTAGCGACATCAACGACGACGCCACCGCCGTTCTATTATTCGACCCCGTCGCCGCTCAATACTCCGCAGCCGCAGACTTGCCCGCCCGGCAAGCACTACCACGAGGGATGCAGGATTTGCTACTGTCGCTCGAACGGCTTCGGCCACGACTGCTACGATGATGGTTGCGCGCTCCCTCCGCAGGGGCAAGTGGGATCGTTCATCAACAATTTTGTGAATGGGCTCTTATCAGGATAGGGCGTCGTCGCAATTTCGATTGAATATTGACAAAAAACAATAATTCATTATTCATCTGAATTCAGAATAAAAATATAATATTTTTGCAAAAAAAAACAGAATTTTCAAATATTTTTTAATATACCTTACATCCAAAAGAATATCCACTCGAAAACGAACGATTTACATGGATTGTAATTATATCAATATCAAATGTGCAAAATACTTAGCAAGATAATCCTAACGAATGACTTGTGTATTTTTATTCACACAAAAAATGTCAAATATTTTCTCGTAAAATTTTTTTATCGAAAAATTAACGCGATTTCCTGCTCAATCAATTTTTTATCGATTAATACTTTATGCAAGATTTCCCAAGGACACTTAGCCGGTGTTTTTTAAACTTTTTCATAGGGACCCGAGGACTTTAGCAGACGCCTGCAATGTCGCTAATATTGCACACCAAAAACCGTGTCGATCATTCGCTGCCGGCTGCGTATTCGTATATCGCAGACCAGCGCGCGGTGATCGTTGTTTATTCTCGATCGCATCATAATAAATCTTTTGTCCGCTGTTTCGCTCCGATAATCAAAAATGTCTCTGTGGGTGGATAAATACCGGCCGAAGGATCTATCCAAATTGGATTACCACAAGGATCAAGCGCAGAGATTGAAAAATATGGTGAGTAGCGGTGAGAGACAGCGATGAGCTTGTCAAGAGGTTAAAATTCACGCGGGAAATGAGGCGACAAGCATAACGTCAACAATGAATATGAAAATATTTTTGCATTGACATAATTCAATTATTCAATAATAATGATGACATTTCTATTGGATTGACAGATGCAATTCGTATTTTTCAATCGAGATGACATTTTCATGTATTATCAATAAGGTTTCAATGGAGGACACTGTATTAAAATGAAATTTTTTACAGGTACAACAAGGAGATTTTCCACATTTATTAGTTTATGGACCATCAGGGGCTGGTAAAAAAACACGTATAATGTGCTTGCTCAAAGAACTTTATGGAAATGGAGTGGATCGTTTACGAATGGATACAATGACTTTTGAGGTTTCAATTCTATTCTACTTTTAATTCAACTGATAGCTGTTCTGTTTTACAACTTTGGTATTTTTTTTTAGTCAGCGTCAAAAAGAAAATTTGATATATCAACAATTAGCAGCAATTATCATATAGAAGTAAATCCCAGTGATGCTGGTATATATGACAGAACTGTTGTTATGGATCTTGTAAAGACCACTGCACAAACTCACCAAATAGATCCTACTGGCCAAAAAGAATTCAAAGGTTTTTATTAATTTTATTATTCATTATTTTTTGGGAAAAAATTTATTTATTAATTTGTCAACTTTGTTTTCTTACAGTGGTATTATTAACAAATGTTGATGAATTAACAAAAGATGCCCAACACGCACTTCGCAGAACTATGGAGAAGTATGTAGGTACTTGTCGATTAATTTTAAGCACTAACTCGACATCAAGAGTACTACCAGCAATCAGATCTCGATGTCTTGGAATCAGAGTTCCAGCCCCAACGATTGAGGAAATAAAAACAATTTTGACCAAAGTAGCTAAAAAAGAAGGACATGATCTTCCTAATGAATTAGCAGAAAGAATTGCTACAACCAGTGAACGAAACTTAAGGAGAGCACTGTTAATGCTAGAAACTTGTAGAGTTGAACAGTAAGATATGCTTTCACTTTTAAATTATTTCATGTATTTCAGAGATTATATAAATATCTTTTTCAGAATTCCATATACTCCTGATCAAAAAGTTACCGAACCAGATTGGCAACTTTACATCAAAGGCATTGCTGCACTGATGGTGAAAGAACAAAGTCCTAGCAAATTATTAGAACTTCGGAGTAGATTTTATGAACTGTTAACGCATCGTATACCATCTGATTTAATATTTAAAGGAATGTTACAAGAAATAAATAAAAAGTGTGATTTGCAATTAAAAATTCAAGTAGCAAATCTTGCTGCTGAGTATGAGCATAGAATGCATCAAGGATCTAAAGAAATATTCCATTTGGAAGCATTTGCTGCCAAATTTATGTCACTTTATAAAAAGTTTATGGATGCTTCTATGGCAGATTTCATGTAAGAAAAACAATTCATAATTTTTACTTTACTAACTAAATAAGTTGTTATTGTTTAAGGTAGTTATAAAATTTTGTCAAAGAATAAAAAAATTTTTGTATTTTTAATAAATCCTATTATTTATATTTTCCAATCCAATACTTTGGTGAATGGTATCTACACTTGGTACTTTTACATGAATGCAAGGGCAATTGCTGAAATAGCTGAGAGAGCTACTGCGGTGTAACCAGTGCTGTAAACGTGTTTGATTGACAAATATTTTCCTAAATCCCACGCCTGAAAATACAACAATTATTTAAGCCCAATCTGTACAAGAATAATGAAAATTGAAAAATATGATTGAGATTAGGGTCTAGACTTACCAAATGTCTCATTCCGTTGAAGAAATGGAAGGTTACAGGATAGGCAAACAATGCCTTACCAGCAATTAAAGTAGCTGGTGACAAATTCCAAGCCGCTATTGCCCCAATGATTGTTTCGATTCCCCCAGGGCAGAACAAAGTTCCTACAATACAAATGATTAGTACAATATAAAACACAAGAATGATTTTCAAAATATGGAAGTATCAAATTACCAAATCCTAATATTACAGCGTATGAAGTCAAAATGATTCCTGTTGTTCGATGTGACAAAGACAGGGTCATTGTAATTTGGAATTTATAAATTCCCAAGTGTGGAGACAATGGTCTGCCTAGCTTCTTATTTCTTTCAATGAAGGACTCATTTGCTACTGGTGCAGCTGCTGTTCTCATTAAAGTCTGCGATGCCAAAATTTTTGATGGCCTGTCACATGTGAAAATCAAAAACATACAGTTGTTTACATGGTCTTCATCAGTTAGTTGGAATATAACGTAAGAAATCAAAAAAAAAGAAAAAAACGATCAAAGGCGCACGATTGTCGACAACCATATTTGTATACATGTCTCCAATCATGTGCATTGCATGTTTGTGTATGTTATGCAACATGTGATGTATCAAACACTACAACACTTATACGCAAGAAATGCGAAATCGCTAGAATACTCACGCAGACATGTAAAAACTACGCATATTTTGTAAATTCAAACCGCTCCTACATAATACCCTGAAAAAACATTAAAATACAACGTAATTAAGTTAAAATTGACTCAAATATTTTCTCCGTCTTATCGGAAAATTTTTAAACACAAATAATCATTCCAACTACCTTGAGTAACTTAAAGCCATTTTAATCAATTTTTTTTGAATATCACAGTTGAAATTAATAATAAAACTTGTTTTTTATGTTAAATTAAGTAAATATCCACTCCGCACTCTGCACCCGCAAGTAAGTTACTTACTGACCGCGAGACACTGAGCAGACGGAAAGTTTCGTCCATTGACTATGCAAGGGCTACATAGGTGGCGTACATACATGAGAAATATGCTAATTCACTTCTCGTTCTCACGAGACCAATGAACTCTGATTATGACTGACCAGACGGACTTGCAGACAAACGATAAAAACAATATGCAGCGGAAAATGACTAATGGAAATTTAACCAGTTGTGTGAACAAATTATCTCTAGAGCTTGAGCAAGCGTTATCGATTTATCGTATTGATTAAATGCAGCACATGTGACTATATCGAATGTGAAGATTTTTATTTTGATATCAACTTAAAAAACGTGAATTATGAGTAATACTGTTCGGTGATGCTAAATATAAATTACTGATTTGTTACTTGAATAAGTATAATAAACGCACTGAATCTGGTATGCAATGCAATTTTTAAATATTTTTTTTTATCAATATAGATGATTAAAGTACTACTACTTTGAGATAACTTATCATTACAAGCCTAATCACCGCTTTTACATTGCCGCTAAAATCAAAGCTGAAGTTATTGAAAGTGCAAGGACAATCCAACCAGTCGTATAAACATCTTTGAGCTCCAAAGTTTTTCCTCCAAAAAAGTTCCAGATCTAAAAGCGAATGTCAAGGTAGAATTCATGAAGTTATATTTTATCAATTTACATCATAAAGTGGTTACCAAAATTCTTATTCCATTAAAATAATGATACGTTAAAGGGTAGCAAAATAGTGCTTTTGATCCTACAAGCACTGCCGGTGCCAGATCCCAGCAACATATTGTATGGATTAAACAAGGAATTCCACCAGGAATAAATAGTGTTCCTTTAATAATCATACTATGTAATTATTTTTTATTTTATTTTTTGTTCATCAAAAAATCAGTATGTGCACATACCTATACCAAGAATCCAGGTGTAGGAGGCAAGGATAATACCAGTTGCTCGAGTGGCTATTGACATTACTGATGTCAACTGAGGCTTATATATCGTTAAATGGGGAGACATTGGTCTACATAACTTCATATTCTTCTCATCATAACTTTCATAACAATTTTTCTCTTCCTGACTTTCGCAGCACTCATTTTCTTCATAAGTTTCACAACAATTCTTCTCGTCATAATTTTCACAACAATCTGAATCCTTTGAGCGTGAGAATACAGGTGATGTTGCACCCCATGTCAATGGACTGCAAATAAACAATTTGCTTACATAGCTGCATAATGAATAAGGTTAAAGTTGTAACCTACGTGCTTGAATACACAAAACGATAATTTTGTAGTGAAATACTTCTTCTGAAAAACAAACTAAGAATATATTTTTAAAATTATTTCATTGCCGTTGTAACTAGGAGGATTATCGTAAACACTTAAAACCATATTTACCGAGTATAACAGAGTGACATTTTTACATCTGAGCGCAGTAACAATATTTTTTTATGCTTCTTATGAAAATTGCTGAAAATGTTTGTTAGTAAAACTCATTGATCATTTGTATCAATCAAGCTGACAAATGCAATTTCATATTTCTCCGCGTTGAAAATTTATTGACCTACGGTGGCGCTTCTGTCAGTTTCATGAACTATGCAGACAACGTAGATGGTCTTACTGAAACAAAAGCTCAAAAAGCTCCGAGTAAATTGTTACCATCATCCAGCTGAGATCAATTTCATGATTTATTTTTAGAAATTATTCAGATGAAGATTCAAAAATAAAAAGATTTTGACTATTGGGACATAGTTTTGTTGAGTTCTTAATAATAAATAAAAGGAAACTCGATTTGTAAAAATAAAATCGAAAATATTCTGCAGGGAAATAAATCAACCGTATTTGGGAAATGGATAGAGTAAAGAATAAATTAATTAATTCAGATGTATAGGTATATTGACAATATTATTACATACATACACAATGAACTTTCAAAGTTCAAAGAATCCGATTAAATACCAGCAATTACATTTACTATAACATGTTGTGATGATATTCATATGTGATAATGTCGTTTGTAACATATTAATAAGATGATTATTCAATAACGACTTATAACGTCATAACAAATTAATTCCTTTTGATATATTTCAGTGATTGTAGTTGACGTAAAAATCAGTCAAGATGTTCTCGGACTTTACTAAAAATATATGGAATTTGATGATTCAAGATGTTAAAGATTTTTCACAATCCGTATAAATTTCATCTTTGACTGCGCATTTCCATTTGAGCTATATTTTTTATTTTGCGCGCGTGATATCATCATTTATACAGTCTAAAAATCGACCTTTGATATTTGTAAGTCATTATCAATCTGTGTTATCAATTGTTAGGATATAATTAAAGCTCACGCACGTGGAGTCGCTTGATCATCTAAATTCTTGGCTACAATTGTTTTCAGTGGCTTTTTTTCAAAACACACAAAATGTTTTCTAGCTGTGCTACTTACGACACTTGACTCCGTAATTATCTTATACACAGTTCTCGTTATGTGATATACAACTATAACACTATAAGAAACTTAAAATACCTATGCTATTGCTGTTTATTTTTTATCGCTAAAGTCGTTGAAAAATTATGAATATAAAATAAATTGATGAAATTCGTAACTGAACAATTAATATACAACTTGATATGATTTCCCTGTACAATTACTCAACTTTCTTCTAAAAACAATTTTGGTATTTTTAGTTTCCTTGAGTTCAAGTCACAGAGAAACGTAAAATCATTTTATAACAAACATATAAAGTGTTAAGTAAATTAAATGTAGCGTTATCATCAAAAAAAGTTCTTTGTGTGTACAATTGAAATGAAATATACAATATTACATAATGACTAACTTTTTTATTAATAATTAATCAATATTCGATCATGCATTCACTTGTCTCTCTTAGTACATTAAAACATGAAAAGTCTTTCTTTATATTTAATGCTATGTTATCATTCATTATTTATTAAGCTTAAACTTAAAAGTATACGTGGAGGCCACATTCCAACTGACTATTGAAATGTTTTCAATCATTCAACATATCATTATGAGACTTTGATGTATGGAATGTCTCACATAATAGGAAGTATGATCTCTACACTAATTATCTCAATCAAAAGAAGTTTTCCTTTTAAAGTCAGAAAATTTTCTATTCAATTCAGTTACTTACGTTTCAGAAAAACTTCTTTGAAAAAGAACATCTGCGATCTATAATATGACATGCTAATATCATCTAATTCAATTACAATATGTAACCAGGACATCGTCGATTTTCAATTTCAACAATAAATTTGAACAAATTTTTCAAGTCTTTCATTTGCCATAGTTTCACTCATAAATGATAATAATAACATTAATAGGAATGTCTAGGAAGAAATCTACAACTTTCATTAGCATTGAGAATTTTCTTCAGATAGTCTTTGATCAACAAGTATAGTTTTTTTTGACACTTAATATTTTAAGATTTGTAATTTTGTAACAATCATTTTTACTTTCTCAAAAGGTCTAAAAACATTTTTAAAATTTAACTAATAATTTACAATTTTTTGTTAAAAACAAATGAGAATAAAGATATAAATAACATTCAAATACATTGCACTTTTTAAAAAGTTTTGTACAAGACCTCCAATTACTTTATCACACATTGCAACTTACGATAACAAACACTTTTTTCAGAAAAAATTAATTATTAAAAAATACTCTAGAAGACAGAATGGAAGAATTTACTAAAAAAGTTGTAAAAACAATTGAAAATTTTCGTGGTCTCCAGTCTGAATTGCATAAATTGATAAAGAATATAAATTATTTCAAGCAATTTCCAAAATTTTGTATGAATTATCAAGCTGTATCAATTTGTGATTACTTCCTTTCTACATAGGAGCTTAAATATAATAAAATCTATAAAAAGTACTTATTAGATAAGTATTTTAATACAGTTCATACTTCAGTTAAGTTTTGCAGATCTCCATTAAAAGTAAAAAATGTTGAAATCCACAATTCTTCTCTAAAAACCTGCCAAACCTCTTATTGGATTTTTAGAATTGGTCAGACATTACTGTCTGGTCTATCGCTCAATCCAACTGGCTGTGCATTTTCTACTAAGTTTGACTTGGTATTTGAAGAAATTCCTTGTGAATCTGATATTACTGCTGATCTCATTTCATCCCTTGATGCCCTATGAAAATTATTGATCAATTATTATCAGCTCAAAAAGCAATGTAACTCAAAATGAAAACGATCTCTTTGAATTAAAACGTATGTAAATTTTTGTAATGAGTGTGTACAGGTGAAGAAAACTATATGTTCTAAAATAAGTGATGAAGTGAGTCATTAATTATTAACGGATGTAAAATATTAATTTTAACCAACTACAGAATTGGCTACGCATTAAAATATTATACAAAGTAAAGACTAATTGATTAGCTATGTTAAACTCATACAAACAGTTGGATTAATATACTATAAAATTAATATACTTTGCCAAAGTTCTACAATGACTGAATAAAACAGTTCATAAAAGTTAGAATTAAGTCTACAAACGAAAAAATTAAGTGAAAAACTGCTACATCAAAGTTATTACACATCAATTATCAACAAGTTATGTTTGCGTATTATTGCCTGGTTATAAGATGAAGTAGTAGTGTGGATTAAAACAAATTCGCGCAGCTTATGTCGGTCTCCAGACATCGGGATCTTCCATAAGAGTTGTATGATGATCACCTGGTGGTAGTTGCTGCTCCTGTCCAGGCGAGCTTACGCCTGCGGTTGGTAAACCAGCTGCGTCCGCCCCGCCACCTCTGTTAATTTGCACACACATTGCACACATTTGTTACGCTCTCAATCACATTTTTAATGGAGCTTGTTTTTTGTCAAGTTATTCACGATTTTACGGTCAGTTAGTCATTGGATACAATAGTATAGTTTTTCAAATTTTTTATACTTCTAATGAAACTTTAAGTAATTCATTATGACTGTTGTATGAAAACCAATAAAATTGAATCGATTTCAAGTTTATAATTATAGAATTGCAAATGTTAAGTTAATATTAACTATTGGAGTAAAAAAAATTAATTATAAAAATTTTAAACCAAAATTTATAAAATCAGTAAAGTAATGGAATGAAAATCACATCATTAATTAGTAGTATCACACTGTGTAAAAAAAATAAATTTTATAAAGCCACAAAAGCATTTAAAAAAAAAATAGAACATTTTGAATCCAAATATAATTAGTTATTATTCAACTTCATAAATATCTTGTCTAAAAAAAATTTCCATCTCATGGGTGAATATTGAAATTTCATCCATTCATGTAAAAAAAATTGTTTGAATTTATATTCAAAATTATTTGCTTACTTCTTTCCAATAGACATCATGCCATATATGACTCCAGTTGCAAATATCAGTCCACTTCCAAAGATTGTTCCTATACCAGGGCACAGAAAAATGGGTGGGAGAGCCAACCTAAAATCATAATCGTGTATTTAAAATGAAAACTTAACTGATGAATAAGATTCAAGATCTCCAGAGATAAAAAAAGTTCTGAGTTGTATAAATTTTACTTGTCTGTTAACATTTTTGTATAAATAAACCATTTGAACTCACAGGCAATATGCAGCAGCTCGTTGCCAGTAGGGTCTATTTTCAACCCATTCACTTCCATGTTGAACAAAGTCAATAAACAAACAACAACAAGGTGCTTCAACACTAATAACTAGAAAACCAGCAACCATCTGCCACAGTCCTCCTAAGAAACAACTGACTTGAGCTAGAAGAATTCCAGCACAGTTCCAGGCTCCAAGGAATATTGCAACTAAAATAATTAAAAACAATATATTATCAATAGGTTATTTATTATTAAAAATCAATTAAAGTATTGTTCATGGGTGAGCAGTACATTTACATTGGAATTTTCAAGAGTAATTAAAATTTAATTAAATGCATTGGAAGATAGGAATCAGTTAGATAATTAATAACTACTACCATTATATAATAAATGGTGTGTGTGTCACTACTTTATAAAATACAATTATTTTCAAAGAATGCCTTTCTTTCCTCACATTCTAAATATAGAAAAACTATTTGTTTGTTTCTTTATTTATATCAATGAATCAAAGAGTCACATTTTTTGGAATGAACATCTCCTTATTTGTACATATGTATCATTCCTGCTGCAACAGAGTGCATTTCAAAGACAATAAACTGAAATTGTTAAATGATAATTCAGGACCAATCAACAAATGGTAACCGTATCGAGAGTCAACCAGCATCTGGTTTGTATTAAAATCATTTATTGATTGTTTTCCCCTCAAAATCTCAAGTGTACTAGATCAATAAGGCGACACACGGCTCCGGTTTAACGCGTGCTCTCTTTTTTGTGTTTGCAACTGCGTTTTTTCTTTAAACAAATTTGCAAATCAAATATCGACGTGATTCACAATTGCTCTATCGCGCATCAACGTTTGATTATAGCTCTTCGTCGGGCGGAAAAAACTGATAAGGAGCGCAAAAAATGAAAAAAGGAAAGAAATAGAATACGAAGATATAGAGTCGGGATACTCACTAACGCTACCGACGGTGCCGAGACACCGTCCAGCGTATTTCATCCACCAAGGTGAATCATCCTTAGCCGCTGGATCCTGGCCAGGTCTGGCCATTATCGAGGCGAACTTCTCTCCTAACGACTGCAATTGTACGAAAAAAAGAAACGAAATAATTCCAAGCCATCGTGCTCATAACGCAGATGCAATCATCTGTCGCATATGAATTGATCGATAGAAAGAGGCTAATTTATTCATACCATTTCGATGTCGTAGAGGTCTCGGTTATTCAGGCAGAAAAATACAATGTAACAACTTTAACTAGCTTTTCTCGTTCTCTCGCGGGGGCACCAAACGTCACTTATCAAGCACCACCAGTCACCACCACTCTCACACGCACGCACTCGTCTCGTAGTGCACTTGGCAAGAAACGTCAGCTGCAGAGTCCGCCTGGCCTGTGCCTCGTCGTCGGTCGACTACGCGGCAACTACACTCGACAGGCCCGAGCTTTTTTTTTCAGAGAGAGAGCACGGTAAAAAAAAGGAGGCGCGCGTATTATACGTGTGTATGCACTTGAATCTCTCTCTCTCTCTCTCTCCTCCGATTGAGTCTGTTTCTCTCACTCGCTCTTGCGCGCGTTCGTTGCCACAAACTGTCGTCGTACTCTCTCAACTCTATACGGATCACTACCACTACACACACACGTACGCAAACACACGCGCGAACGGAGCTGAAGTATCTACTCCACTGCTGCTTCGCTACGTTGACTCCGTTACATATGTGTGCGCTGTGTAGGCTGCTCAGGCAAAATCGACCACGCGACTGTTTGCGAAGCTTCGCCGGCAGAGGCGCTTAGCGCCGAATTATTGAACACCGATGCGTTGTAGTAGACACGATGTTTCGATTTTTGGTCCTCCAACTTCGCGCTCCGACTGCGCTAAGTTTGAGCACGATCGAAAGTCGACTCCGAGCTGGTGTGCGCAAAAATTCGGAGCGCGGGTCATTCAATAGCACGAGATAAGAGGCGAGAGCTTTCTTTTTGTTCTTAATTGCGAGAATATCATAGAGCTGAGAAATCGATGGAATACACACGGTATTATTATCTTGTTGTCTCTTATCGAGGGTGCGATGTATACACACACCGACACAAGGAGACGTGGATGAAACCCGAAACGATATTAATCTATGATATTAATGACGCCTCGAGAGCGATATACAGAGTGAAATTCCACACACACATACAGGGATCATTATGATTTGCGGTCGAGCGGCGCGCATGCAGGTTGAAAACTCGCCGCCGCGCGTTTTCTTGCACAATAGAGAGAGAGAGACGGAGAGAAGCGAGGCCTTATGTCACATTTTGCATTGCATTATAAACACGCTCTCGGCATTATGTATTATCTTACAAGAAATGAGACTGTGGGAGGGGAAAATAGTCGATTCGATCGGGTTTTATATGCTTATAACGACATATTTGTTGATTTTTTTAAAATTTATTTATTCTTCGACATATTCATTCCTTTTTTTTCTGCCTTATTTTCGTTCGGTCTTACCAGGATTTCAGTATATACAAAATCAATAGATTCATTTACAATTATCATATCATATAAGTCGATACACATACATGCGTTATTACTTATTATAAACTTAATTAAAAAAAAAGAAAAGGAGCTTTGTATTTGCGTGTGAGTTTCGAAGTATTTTATTTTGTAGTGAGCGCAAAAATTTCCTATATTTCGTTGGGCCTTTCTTTTTCACGTCAGACTGGGAGCATTTCGATCACTGCTGTTAATTGTAAATTAAATTTTCTAGATATTCAAGAATCGTTGTCGTTGTGTAACGAGAATAACCATTGAGCAGTGTGACTCCAAAAAATTTTAACGTCTGACTTCGGTGAAAAAGATAAACAAAAATCACGTTTATAACAATGCGGTTGAAAATTTTGCTCATAGCGAATACATTGATGCATTTTTTTACAATTGTTATAATTTATCAAGCAAGAATTTGGCGTTAATCGTGTTTGTGTTTGCATGTTTTTTTGTTTGTTTTTCTTTTTAGAAATGTTTGAGGAGAAAGGAACTATACAATTAGTATTGCGTGCTATGGTGTCTATAATAATATAATTGCGCAAGGATATCATTTTTTTCCATCTCAATGAATCTATATTATTATAAAAACCATGGCTTTCAGTGCTAATACGTCATTTTGTATTTATAATTTACTAAGATGCATTGTAGTTCTTGAATAAATTCGACACAGAAAATTCGTAAAATTAATAAAATCGATGAACAACGTGGAACGGATGAAACTTGTTTAAAAAAAGTATACAAAACGTATTACTTTTTTATGTAAAAAAAAAGAATGCGTATCATCAAAGTTCGTTGTTAAAAATGCAAATTCAAAAATCGTTGTTAAAGCTTCAATTGATCATAGAAATTTAGGTCCTATTAAAACAAATTGTTGAATGATACAATACTTATTATTAAAATCATTAGTCTTAATTCATTACTTTCTACAAGTATAAATAATAGTTCCAAATTTTTGGACGAGTCTATCTAATTATCTAACTAAAAACAGTCCATGACGTTTGGTGCGTCGCAGCTCTTGCTTATCATATTTATACAATCAAATGCCTCACGTTATTTTGCGCTTACTCAGTGACATTACAACAAGCTAAAGTTCGTTCTTACCGTTTCACAACGAATTTCAAGTCTTTTTCACACCTACATCTCACGTTATTATCACGTAATATTTTACGACAGTGACAAGTTCTAAGGAAATCGATATTATCCCCATTGGCACAATGAATCCTGCTTGAACCCTAAATTTGACTAATGTAGCCATTGTACGATAAATAATAATGAGTTATACACGATTCAATGCTTGATAGGAATGATTTATCGTTTAAATTATACTAAATCAGTGGCAAGCCATTCGATACTAATTGCATAAACATTTATCAAAAGAAATTCGAAAATACAATTTAATACTCGATCGAAGACAAACATTGAGGCATTGGTGATTTTTTCCAGATTCAACGATGAAAATAACGTTACAAAAATAGTTCACGAACAATTTTAATACAGCGCAATGATTTTGTATCAATGTAATAAAACAAAAAAAAATAAATAACGCATACAAACATAAAAAAAAAATTACCGAAAACAAGCACACGATATACAATTTTTCGCAATCAAAGCGGCGGTATAATTTACAATTGAACACCAACAAATGAAGAAAAACACGTAACGCGCTATGTTCATTAAATGATACTCATGGATCGTCTATAACGTTTTCTCGTATTGGCCGAGTTGTTGTTGTTGTTATTGTTATTGTTGTTGTTATTGTTGCTGTTGCTACTGCTGGCCTGCAGATTGGACACGTGCGCGGGTGGCGTTACGGGCGAGACGGGGGTAACGGGCGTCAGCGCCAGGGGTGTGTCGGCTGCGCTCTCCGAGGTCGGGGTCACGGGTGCTGTCGCACTGGACGGCCTCAGCTACCAAATGTAGTTTTCCGTCTGCGGTGCACGCATCACGCCCACGCCACCGCCGAGCCGACGATAATTCATGTAGCCGCACAGTCGCCACTGATTCTGCTCGGGATCGTAGACCTCGATCGTCTTGAGGTAGGCCGTGCCGTCGAAGCCGCCCACCGCGTAGAGTTGACCGTTCACGACCGCAAGACCGACCTGGGGAATACAATTTTAATTTATAGATACGATATTTCGATGAATCGTGGTTCCCGTGGAATGTCCTTTGACTTACCCCGCTTCTTCTCGAAGTCATAGCAACTATCGGACTCCAGGAATTGGTATGTGGATTGTAACGCTCGGCGCTGGACAACTCCATGCAATCGTCTCGGCCGCCGACGGCGTAGATGAGATTGTTGAACACGGCGCAGCCAAGATGCTTGCGCCGCGTCGACATCGGCGAGACCTGCGTCCACTTGTTCTGTCGCGGATCGTAACGCTCGACCGTGTTGAGTGGTGACTGGCCATCGGACCCGCCGATGGCATACAAATAGCCACCTAATACAGCTACGGCTACGCCGAGGCGGCGCGTCGTCATCGGCGACACCTTCGACCATTTGTTCTCTTTTGGATCGTATCTGCATCGAAAAAATTATAATCGAATTAAGCAATCCGCCAAAATCGGAGGACGTCGAAAGCATCGGATAAAAAAGACATCGAGCGATACCTCTCAACGTGATTCAGGCACTGCACGCCATCCTGCCCGCCGACGGCGTAGAGAAAACCATCCAGCACGGCCACGCCGACGCTCGTCCTGCACGAGGTCGTGGGCGCCACGTCGCAGGACCACTGGTTCGTCTGCGGATCGTACCTCTCGATACTGTTGAGATAGCTCTGGCCGTCGTGTCCGCCGACGGCGTAGAGCAGATCGTTCAGGACGGCGACGCCGACGCCGCAGCGACGCTTGCTCATGGGCGCGACCATTTTCCAGTCGACGGTGTTGGGATCGAAGCGCTCCACGCTCGCGATGGCATCGCCGGAACACCATCCACCGACCGCGAATAGAACCTGGAAACATTTTGATTCCCGATGTAGTAAAGCACAATCGTGACATGATTCAGGAGGACAATGGAAATATTATGTACCTCGCCTCGCCGCGTAGGCTTTCGCGGCCTCGTTCTTGGTCCCTGCATGAGTGGCCTCTCCTGCGGCAGCAGGAGGTAATTTTTCGCCTCGTCCACGAGATCTCGGCAGGCATCGTCGGACCTGACGAGCAGATCCGAGCCGACCGTGCCGACGAGGAATTTGGGACTCAGCAGCGGCAGCCTGACGTGCTGCAGCACTTGGGCCAGGTGCTGGCGTCGCTCCGTAACGTTGTACTTGACCCAGTTCATGACTGCATTGAACACTTGTTCCTCGGAGCGAACGTTCAGCTCGTCCGACGAGATAATATCGACTAGTTGACCAACGGGCAGCAGAAGAAATTCTTCGCTTTCCATCACCTGTTTCGAGGAAGGGAAATTTGTAAATACGGGAGCATTGACAATGGTGGCGTATCGGATAAAATTTATAAATTCATCGTGTATTATCTTTCAAGCGTCTATTGTAAAACAGTAACAAATGCGAATGTTGATCTATTAGCAATCGATTTCCACTTACGTTGTATAATGAAGATAGTATACGACCAATTCAGGATGTTACATTTAAAAAAACTACAAACCTCTTGAAAATTATGCTGAGTAAATTTATCGGCAATGCGGAGTAGCTCTCGGCATGAGTGCGTATCGGCGAAAGCTCTTATGCCGAGACAATTGGACGGATCCAGCTGACGTTTTAGAAATTCGCAGCAAATGTCCTGAATCTCGGCCAGTTGCAATAAACACGCAGCCGGTAATAAAGTTTGGACATTGGCTTCCTCTACAATTATGTGAGACGTGTAGCAGAAATCTATGAGTAATTCCATGGCCATTTCGTCGATGTCTCGTATCGTTACTTCGGTTTGTCGTGATTCTGCTAATTCGCCAGTAAACATCGCTCTATAAATGAAAAGTAACAATAATAAAATTTGGGAAAAATTGATAATTTATTGTTTATCTTTAATTCATCAGACTTATCAGTATCACATGAAACTGTAAGGATAAATCACCTGAAGTAAGGGCTGCATGCTGACAATATAACTCTGTGAGCAAATATTTTTCTTGAGCCAACTTTCAACACAACATCACATAGCTCCCTGTGTCTTCTGAGCACTGTCATCTCAGTTAGAGTAGCACGGGGGTGCTTCTCTGATGTGTGGCTCAGCCTGGCCGGCGAAGGAGCTCTGTCGACCACCATCTCGCCAGCTATTCTTGGATAGTTGTTGTTAATGATGGTGGCCGATGAGCTGCTAGGTGGTCTGTGATGATCGAGCACCACAAGAGCGTTGTTGCTTGGAGATGTTGTTGCTGACAATGATGACGAGGGTTGCTGCGGAGGAGCTGATGCAGGGCTACGGTTGCTTGCTGCAGCCCCCCCGGCTGCCTGCTGGAGGCGCAGCGGGGGTGAGGCCCAACCCCACACAGTATCTATCTGTAATTACATTTATCAATTTTAGTTTATGAATTAAAAAGCAAAGTTAGTTGTTTAAAATGAAAGTAAATTTTAGTTGATTACCATGATCTAAGAACTATTTGTCCCTTATTTTACGATTGTCTTAATTCCAAGAACTATTTAGATTGATAAACAATGAATAAATAATCAAAATAGGAACCATGAAAAATTTATGAAAACTAACTTCTTTGTAATACAAGAAATTGTTTATCAGGACTCTCAATAAATGGCTGAAAATTAAGTGGAAAAATTTCAATATCTTTGTTTGCAGTGGCTTATTGAAAGATTTGCAAGTAATCAGCTGCCACAGCAGTGTGATAGCCCGAGCTGGTCACATGCTCTCCAGAACGGGCAGCAGCAGCTCCGAGCTGAGCGCTACTCGCGAGCATTAAAGATAGAAACGGAGGCAAGTAGATTATTATTGGGTCCAAGGTAAAAATGCCTTTTCTCGTGCATATAGGTATACGCTCCAGTTTAAGCTGTATGCACGTTCCAAGTCAGCCGTTTTCGTATACACACATACACACGATAAGGCATCAAGCACGAACGGAGTAATAATATACGATGAAACGAGTTCTTCCAGGCGTCATAATAAGTATTCACTCTGGCATCGTTTTATCGTATTATTATTACGAGGGCGAGGAGTTGTGAGGCCCCTGACCTTTAAGACGTTGGCTAAGCAGCGGGTGACGAAGGGCGAGATGAAGCCACCCCCTCGGCTAGGCTCACTGTTGTTAATATTGACCTGGCGGGATGACTGGCCGTTCGATTCTTTCGCGATTACCAACTAAGACTGGCTGCTGCTGCCGTGCTATGCTGCTGCTACGGTTTGTTCTCAGCTACCTCGGCACGACGACTCGGATTCAACTGACATTTCTTCGTAGCACGTTGAATTTACAAACACAAAATCACGCATATATAGGTAACAACGATAGACAACGACGCACGGATATACACACACGCTGCTGGCGACACAAAATTCAGTGCTACAGTTTACACTCTGCGCGTTCGTGTGTATCCAGACGACACACACGATGCGTTCCTTTAAAACTCCGATCTACAGTCGCGAGTTTGCGGATTAACGGGATGAGAGACTGCACAAGAAGGAGATGAGTCACACACACTTCTACACGTATACACACACACACACACAAACTCACTTATATTCTTTATCTCTATCGGTAAATGCAGTGTACGCAGTCTGCTCGCAGAGAAAGGATACTTAATTCGGATGTATAAAACTGCGGGGTCGTGTTGTGTGTGTGGCCTGTAGCGTATATCTTGCTATATAGCCAGGCCAGAATCTGCACACACGAACCCGCAGAGCTGCACGGAACTGACTTTAGATATTGTTGTTCTATATATAATGACGCGAGCTGCCAGCCTATATACCGACGCTCCGACTCCGTGTGTGTGCGTATAGGTGCAGCTGCTGTGTGTAACACACACACGAAGTAGCAGATGATCGACTTCGGAGTCGCGCGAGATCTTCGCGAGCGCAAAGTCTCGTGCCGAGCTTGACGTCTCTCGACGCTACGCGGCGCCTACATAGCCGATTGCTCCGGAGAAGTCGGTAAATTTGACGTCAAGTCGGTGTAGCGAATACACCGGGCGAGACACGCGAGCTGAAATGTTGCATTTTGGGCAATTTTTTTATATTTTATCGACGTTCTTATTAATAAACATTATTTGAATTATTTGAAAAAATATGTTCAGTCGTTTATTTCATTTAAAAATAGATAAAATTCGAGCGAGTCGTCGCATTCCTCGCTGCAGCATCTCGAATCGCCCGCGTAGATCCACCTCTCCAGCTCTCGCGATATAAATTTGACCGAGTTTTCTTCCAAAAAGCGCTGGACGCGCGACTCGCCGCTTCAGTCGCCGAATCTTGTGCTGCTGCTGCTGAAATAGCGACAGTGCGTGTGTGTCTGCAAATGTGTATGTGCGTGTGCGACAGATAGTAAGTCACAGAGTGGCCTGTTGTATCGCGCGATCCCGAAGTCAGTACACAAGAGGCAACAATAATAAAGAAGAGAAAAGAGAAAAGCTGCACGCGGAGAAGTTATGCGAGCGGATGAATAACGAGCCGAATGTTGAATCACGGGCGGACTGCGTTGTGTTGTTCGTCGCTCCACCGAGTGTAGTATAGAGTGTTTATAGCGATAGATACTACTGCTATATATATACAGCCAAGATGGATCAGGCGCCGGCAGGTGAGACAATTGTTTGTGTATAGATCGCGATCGCTGATAATTTAATTGGGCTATCGATCGACCCAGTCGAGATGCAGCTGCAATTTTCACTTGGTGCGAAATGAATTTTAGTGTCCGCGATGGAACACCGATTGTAATGTTATTGACGTGCAGCTTGGCACGACACTTTGTAGGTTACTTCTGGTGTTCCATTGATGCTTTCGATAAAGAGCATCATTTGAAAAAACTCGGTTTTAACTTGACGTTTATACGAGGTTGATGTTTCAAAAACCAAAAGATTACTCTTTGCTCAAATCTTATCGATTGGCCTTCGTGAGCTCTTGCAAAGAAATTACTAAAAAGGTTAAAATTGATACGTGCTTTGATGCTAACAAGCTTCCATTGCATTATTTATGACTTTGTTATGAATAATGCTAAACGTGTTCATACTTTTAAATTGTATATGCAAGGGGTTATATTTAGGACAAATTTGATTTTATGATATGATATTTCGAGTTGAAGGAATTACAGAATATTTCTTTGTTCGTCAATGAAGTTTCCACAGTTTTTACATGTGTAACTTTTTGTTACAGATATTGAACTACGCAACATCATTGACAAACTGGCTCAGTTTGTCGCTAGAAATGGACCGGAATTTGAGCATATGACAAAAAATAAACAAAAAGATAATCCAAAGTTTAGCTTTTTATTTGGCGGAGAATATTTCAATTATTACCAGTATAAAGTCACAACAGAACAAGCCAGTAAGTGTTTAGATAGCTAAGTAATCGATAGAAACCATTATTAGATTAAATTTTAGATATTTGTATTCATATAATTGTAATAAATTAATTATACACTTTTGTATAAATAATTTGCAAATTAATATAAAATTTCAATTATTGCATGTAGAGGTTCAAGGTATGAAAATATTTATACTTCAATAAGTTAGCAACAGCGTAGTTTTACTATAGTTCAATTTATTTTCCATTTTAATTTTCACTTTTTATTTACAGTCTTGAAACAGAAAGGAATGAACACAATGTCAAATTCCGACCCACGTTCTAATGCTATGCATCAATCATCAGTGGCACCATCAATGAATAATGTTGGAATGCCTCACAATAATGGATTGAGCAACCCAATGCCACCAAGCTTAATGGTACAAGGTCCACCACCAAATATGCCTCCACCACCTAATATTTCTGCTCCACTTGGGCATATGCCTCCACAAAATTCTAGACCTTACGGTGCACTACAGACTGAATTGGCTACTTTACAAACTCAGCAAAGTACTTTGCAAGATCAAGTCAGACAATCTGAACAAAATCTTGCTGCGCATCATGCTGCTTTAATGTCACAACAACAAGGAAAAGTAGAAGAGGCTGTCAGACAGGCTCAAGACAATGCTTTACAAACAGTAGCTCAAAGTACAAATACTGATTTGCAAGCATTTGATACAGTGTTACAGCCAATCATTGATAGTTGCACAAAGGATAGTATAAGTGCTGGTAAAGCATGGATATTGCAGCATTCAACTACATTACCTAGCAATCAAGTGATAGCCAAACATTTACTCAAAAGGTACATTGGGCTTTTGCCTTTATCCTAGTTCCGTTTTCTCCATCCACTCTGCATTATTGATTGTAAAAATAACGTGATAAACTTGAAATTCTAGAGTAATTCAGGAAACCACTTTTAATCATAAACTTCATATTATTTATCTGGTAAATGATGTGTTGCATCATTGGTAAGTCAGGGTCACACTTTTTTTTGTAAACTTGTTTGAATTCTGCAAAACTTTCTTTTAAAATGTCTATGATGAACTTTAAAATTTTAATAGTGCTAGAAAAAAATCTATGGACTTGCGTAAAGCTATGGAGAGTGTTGTCGTACCTATGTTTTGTAATGCATCATTAGCTGCCACAGAAGAGCAAGTAACCAAATTAAATAAGCTCTTGAGTCTGTGGGAATCAAAAAGTAATTATTTTGAGGAAGGTATCATTGAGAAGCTGAAGAACCCGACTGCGTCTTGGACCGAGTATCAGAGCAATGTAATGTCGCAGCACGCCTCAGCCATAACGTCAATTACCGCGACCACGAAGCAAACCTACGACAATTACCAGGCGCAGCATCAGGCGTTCGTGAACCACGCGATGAGGCAGATTCAAACCATAGAGCAACAGAAAATGGCAATCGACAAGCAGCTCAAGGCACCTCAAGCTGCAATGGTAAAATAAATTATTAACAATACTGAATTCAAGCGATGCTTAATAATTTTTTTATGACAGAGAAAATTTTTTGTCACGATAAATCATAACTTCATTTATTCTTTTTAGAATCCATCCAGCGTACCGCCAGCACACACGATGCCACCACTTTCAGGGCCTCCTCCAAACGCAGGATCCATGCCAGCGAGTGGCCCACCTCCACAGATGCAACAAGCACCCGCGCCACCACGTATAAGCCACCATTCGGACTTACCTCCACACGAAAGACTTTCGCATTCTGACAGACCACCTCATGACACAGATCAGCGATTCGGAGGACCACCACTGCACGACACGGATCAACGATTCGGTGGACCACCCCCGCACGATAAAGACGGTCGATTTGGTGGACCTCCTCAGCACGATAAGGACGTCGGCTACGGTGGACGTCCGCCCCACGACGAAGATGGACCCGGAAGATACGGTGGACCTCCTGCACACGACAAAGAGGGCTCTAGTCGTTTTGGTCCTCCGCCACACGAAAAAGAACGTACCAGTCGTTTTGGCCCTCCGTTAATCGATAACGACGGCAGATACGGAGGTCCGATGCACGAAAACGAGGATCGTTACAGAGATTCAATGCCGCGCGATAATGACGGTCGATACGGTGGACCACCCCGTGAAAACGAAGGCCGGTACGGCGGACCGCCGCACGAAAGCGAGGGTCGATACGGTGGTCCACCTCCTCACGACAACGAAGGACGTTTCAACGATGGGCCGCCCTCCCGGTACGGCGGGCCTCCGGGGTCCGATCATGGAAGACCACCGTACAGAGACGGCGATAGACACTACAGTGGCCCACCGCCGCCACACGACGAAAGGAGACATCATTTCCTTGGAGGTCACGAACAGGGACGTCCACCGCCGCTATTCGGGCCTCCGCAACATGATATAGACGGAGCGCCCATGTACGGCGGTGGACACCCGCATCACGATGGAGGCAGACCGCCGCACATGGACGGTGGACGACCGCCTTTCATGGACAGCGAGTGTCCGCCGCCTCTATTCGGCGGACCGCCGTCTCACGAGCATTCAAGGCCACCATTCCACGAGGGTCCACCGAACGACGGCAGGCCTCCGTTCGGAGGACCGCACGATGGTCGGCCGCCGTTCAGTGGTATGCCACCACGGGATGGTGACGGTCACTACGGCGGACCACCGCATCCCCTGCACGACGGCGGGAGACCGAAGTTTGGGGGTCCGCCTCATCACGGTGGTCATCACGGCGGACCGCCACACGCCAGTCCTCCACCCTTCGGAATGGACTCGGATTATCCGTCGCATCGAGACTCGTCTCACGTACCTCATCCATCTTATGGTGGCCCGCACGGGCCTCCGATTAGAGGTGAGCAATCAGATGATGGTATGTATTTGTTTTTTTTTTCTAAATGCAAAGCAGCTTTATATCGCTAAGAGTAAAGTATGTTCTCAAATTAATATAGTTTTTCCATATCTATCTTGAAATTATTGTACAGTCAAAACAATTACTGAATACTACCTTTTTTTTATCAATTTTATTTTTATTTTTTTCACTTATACTAAGTACCTAATGTAGTAAATAACACTTGAATTTCTACGATGTTTTATTAAAAAAGACTGGGTGCTTAGAAATCAAAGATCTTAATAAATAACATCAATGGCAGATAAAATTTGAAACTAGGTCAACAAGTTCAAAATAATGTTATTAATCGTTGTGACCTTCTGTATCTTACTTTCTATCATTATTTTAAAAGTATTTTTCTCGCTTGATTACCTGCACCATTGCTAATTCGCTGAATTTAATTTTTAGACTTTGGTCCACCCCATGGTCCACCACACGGACCACCAATGGGTGGTCATAATCAAGGTGACGGCTTCAATCAATCTGCCAGCTGGAATGCTCCTCCCCCTTCTCAGCATGGTCAACTGCTGCCTGATTTCTCAAAACCACCGCCAGGCTTTGGACCTCCACCGACCATGGGCGGTGGTGGTCCTCCGGTAGTACCGCCACAGAATCAGCCGCCACCCCTCATGGCCCAAGAAATCAAACTGGAAGAACTGATGCCTACGATGCCATATTTTGATTTACCTGCCGGTCTTATGGTGCCTCTCGTGAAGCTGGAAGATCATAATTACAAGTCTCTCGATCCAGATGCCATCAGACTGCCACCACCTGCGCCTCCAAGTGATCGTCTGATAGCTGCGGTGGAGCAGTTCTACGCGCCTCCGAATCACGACTCACCCAGAGACAGGTAAGATTGATCGAATCCTTCAAATTCGTAACATTTTCACTTGCGTTTTTATATAGTAATAGTAAAATAATTCATCTCTTGTTTTCAAACAGTGATGGCTGGGAAAAATTAGCACTTTACGAATACTATCGAGCCAAGAATAACGCGAAAAAGCGGAAGGAAGAGGATATCGAAGATGGTATACGAGAAAAATCCAGATCACCCACGCCAATTACTAGGCCCCGTTCAAAAAGTCCCAGTCCACCGAAAAAACGATACCGTAGCAATAGTAGGACGAGAAGTCGTTCACGCTCAAGATCAAGAGGTCGTAGCAGATCACGTACTCCTCCTACGGTGGGAAGAGACAACTCATCATCCTCCAATCATAGACGAAGTGGATCGAGCCGCAGCAGCCGAAGACGTAGAAGGAACAACAAATCTGGTAGCGACTCGACAACACCTAGAGGTGATAGAAACGACAGAAGTCCTACGCCACCTAGTTTCTTGTAAGTCTTTACGGGGGAGCACTCGAAAAGTAGTATCCAAGCGAGCGCGACATAACATTTTGTAATTTTTGCAGAGGTTCAACGTACAGCAACCCGAGCCAACAAATGGGATTGGACGAAAGCAACAAAGGGCATCAGTTACTTCGTAAAATGGGCTGGGGTGGCGCCGGCCTCGGTGCCAACGAGCAAGGAATCGAGGCGCCGATTTCCGGTGGTGACATACGCGACCGAAGTGATCAGTACAAAGGAGTTGGTATAAATCTAAACGATCCCTATGAAAATTTCCGAAAGAGCAAAGGTCAAGCCTTTATCACGAGGATGAAAGCTAGGGCGGAAGAACGCGCGGAAGAAAGAGGAGATCGCGAATAATCGCGTAGAGCCCCCAGCATGTAAATTGAGAAAGCCTGAATCACCTATTTTTGGGAGCTAATCAGTGATCAAGTGGAAACGAACGTGCAGTGATTTATGACGTAACAAAATACAAAATATATGAATTATTTACAAAAAAACTAATGAAATACCTATCCGTGAAATCTGTGAGGATTTTTGTAAACGAGCGTGTATAGATTTTTTTTATACTTGACTATACTTAAATATGTAAAGACTAAGTGAGAATGGGAAAAAATATGACTGTTGTTTTTTAAACGTTAAGATCTCGACGTGCCGTACAAAAAAAGAAATGAAAATGTTTCGCGATTTGTACAAATTCCGGGAAAAAAACTAGAATTATTATTTATTCTAATTGAAAACTTTATTTTCATCAATTCAAATGTAATACATTTTTTCTTTGATTTGTAAATTTTGATTTTTGCATCGATCAAGCAAATGATGCTACAAGCGTAATCTTCCATATAATACCTTTGACGTGTTATGTGTTTTTTTCTTTTCGAGAAATGATTTATTAAAAGTATAATTATCTTTTAATAATTTAGATAACTCGACAGCTCGATTGTTTCTGAGAACTATTTTGTTTTTGCACTAATACGTTTAGGCATTCATCTTGCTTGATGGACAACTTCGAGAACTTTTTTGTTAAAGTTCAATATTAAAAAAAAAAAAAAAAAAACAAGACAAACGTGTGTTTATATAAGTCGTATGAATATATAAGTTATTGCGCCGTGAATTTAATGTATTTAGACCCATCGAAGAGTGATTAAAGAAAAAACAAATTGTAAATTTCAAATACAATAGCTTGACATTTTTACGAAGCCAAATGATAAAGTAATTCTAATTGTCGTATAGGATCTGCCTGCTATGAGATTAAAAATTATTCAGAGGATCGAAAGACTAAATATACTGTATAATATTTTATGAATGTAAAGTTGTGCTTTTGGAGATTATGGATGGAGGAATTTTCAAAAAAAAAAAAAAATGTTCAAGATTTCTTTGCCTCGAATACACACGAAGTTCCTCGGAACTAAAATTATATTCGCTTGCTTTGTGATTTCAAGTACCTCAATCAAAACAAAACAAAAAATTAATCCACAGAATTTTCGATCGTATTCGGCTCGCATTTATACATGTATACATCACGATGAAAATCGAAAGGACTCGGCCGAACTCTCGCGTGCCGTTTAACATATAATATAGCTTTTCCCCTCCGCGCGCGTGTCCAATGCACCTCTATATTCCTCTATTGTACACGCGATATATAGTAATAGCCCGCACAAGACGGCGCGTGAGCGCGTTGCCGTACACGTGACTCCAAATCCTGCCTATGTATGCACCGTCGCCGCCGCGTGTGTGTGTGTGTGTGCCGCAACTCTCTTTTTGATGTTATTATAAAATAGTCCTAGACCGCTGCAGCACCTGGAGCCTGTGCGCCGCTGCCGCTGATCTCGCGCGAATTCGCGCCAATGTTATTGTGGCCCCGCACGAGCGCGCACCGACCGTGTATGTGCACAGCAGTTCTCTCTTTCGCTCGCGTGTGCAGCAATTGTTCGCAAAAGGCCTGGTTATATATATGCAGCGTACATATAGATACCGAGAGAGGAGTATAAGCAGAAGCACAGCAGCGGCTGGCGTATAATACTCGCGCGTGGCAGTAAACCGAAGCTTACGCGACGACGCGGACGACACTTGAACTTTTATCGTTACATAAATAAATATATAACAACGCGCGTTATCCGTGACCGATTGGATGAGGAGGATTAACAGGACAGCAGCCTTTCATACAGCGATTCATGGTAAGTCTCTTTTGTTACTTAGACTCATTTTTGGCCCGAAAAATCGGTAACTTTTACCGATCGCATCCGCATACATTCCTTTAAAAAATCGGTAATAAAATTACATAGCTTAAAATATAAATCTTGATTCTCGAAAAACTGCCCGCGTACGCATACGAAACGAAAATCAGCAAAAAAATAACAAATTATCGAATTCGCGCGTACACTGGCGGGAGAAGCCTATATACATTAGCTCCTACTCCGGGCGCAATGTGCAATATACATACATAGCACAATTGAACGTTTTATAAGTCGCGTTACTTGCCACGTGACTTTGCACGCGCCGCACCGCAAACATATAATAATACACTCATATACACGGGCCAGGAGGCGGATATTTTTCACCACCCTTTGCTCGTGTATGTGTTTGTGTGAGTGCATATGGTTTTTAAGGCGGCTCTCCGTACAGTCCCGCGTATTATTACCCGAGTCTGCCTATTGGACGATAAGTATTTATATATACACACATATTGTTCTTTCGCCTATCTATGTACGTGCATCGGCTTTCAAAACTCACGCGTTCGGCCACGCTCTCGATCAGAGGCGGCGGCGGCGGCGGCAAAAACACTCGTCTGTGTGTGTCTGTGTGTCTATATATATTGCAGCTCGAGCAAAGTCACGTGTAGACAATGTGCTCGCTCGAATATCCTTAATTCGGTGTATACGCGTCTAGAGAGAACATGTAATACGGCATCGCGAATAATACTTCCAGTTACGCTGTTACATTCGTACGGCGTTACGAAGATATTTTTAGCTTTGCGATTTCTTCTTTTTTTTCGCTCTTCCTTCCTTTCTATATACGGTTCCGGATTTAACCGAAAAATTGAAGGAAGGAAAAAAATTAATTTATCGACGTTGGAAGTGACGATTCTCGTGAGAATTACGATCATCCGTACTCGATGAGTAATCTCGCTTTGCGTATAAATTATTACTGAACTAACTCGTGACCGAAATTTCGCCTACGAATTATTTAGTACATTAAAACTACCAACAGCCAGACACACATCTCAGACGCTACGAGCCCCTTAGTGTCATTTTTTCGAATAAAAGAGCGTTTATATGCCACGATTTAGGTTTATACGAATTAAATTTATAGCGCACATAAGAACCGGATGAGCGCGGGAGACGAAATAATTGCGCTACTTTCGCGCGCGCTTAGGCATGTGTATATAATCGAAAGTGTAATTCCGGTCGCGCGTTTGGCATTTTTAAATCCCTCGTATATACAATCCGACCCCCCTCGTGTCAAAACGAAATTATTATATACACACACATCCGAATCGGCACGTGCTGCCATTAACTATACACTGGGTTGGTTGGTCGATTCGCGTTAAACGAGTCATAATTAGAAAAAACCAGAGAGCAAAAAAAGGGACTGCTGTGCGAGACCCCACATGAGCGACGGAAAACAATAAATATAGTTCGGAGCGACTTCCGCATAATGGTCGTAACGTATAGACCTACCCCCGTACCGCACTGAGACACTTTAAAAACTCATTTTCGGGGCAATCATCGTCGTCGTTACGAGCGGAAGTGAGGTAATCGGTTTTTCGCGCAGATTATGTACTTTACGCGTCGCACATATTTATTATTATTATATAGCATCGCACCGAGCATAATATATGTGCCGAGGCAGCCGAATTTCTATATATGTCGTACAGACACACGCATGACACACTCGTAAAGTCATGCGCCGCGATGTATCGCGCGTAAATATAGGCGAAAGCTCTATAACTATTCGCTTGTATTCGCACCAGACGCATTCCACCCTCGTTTTCTATAACTATATACATATTATTCTACAGTCGAGAGATAGATAGATAGACGAGTGCGAGGCGAGGCAGAAAATGATTATTATGATTACTCGCTTCTTCTTTTTCGGGCGGGGGCCTTTGCTCGGCGGCGGCGCGTATTATATTATTAGCCGGACACACACGGACAGAGTCGGAATTGTGTGCCGGCGGTTGCTGCGCTTTATATATACAAGCCGCTCCTATACACACTTTCACGAATGTTTAAATTTAGATTTAAAGCCTCGGTAGTCGAGAGATAGTTGGGTTATTATGCCATCGGAGTTCTCGCTCGTTCGTCGCGCGAGTATAACTCGGGAGTCATCCTCCTCTCTCTCTCTCTCTCTCGCTCTTATGTATTATTACCCATGTTTATAGGCGATTCGCGACTGGCCAAAACAACAACGATTATAACGAGTAAGTCATATGTATTTCTAGGCCGCATGCAGTTGTAGTGGTAGTAGTAGTAGTGGTGGTGGTAGTGGCGTTTGTTGTCGTCGCGATGCAACTGGCCGCGCGCGAGGAATATTAAAGCCGTCTGCAAAATTAGCTCACGCGCGCGGTAACATATACACACTGCACATTCGTATCGTCGTAGATATCTTTTTTTTTTCTTCTTCTTTTTCGTCTTTTTTATCCGAAGATGCACTCGCGAGAATTTTCCATTAACGCGTGGAAATTTCAAATGCACTGCGCACCGAGGAGTTTGAAAACAAATCGCACACACATACGGACAAAATACTAATGTCGATTCTCTCGTCGACTCGTCGCCGCCGTAATGGCGTAACACAATAGCCATTATGTCTTTGCATAATATAGTCATGTGCACAGTCAATATATCCGTACGTACGTGCGCTAACAATTCCCGACGATTTCTATATATAAAATATTTTGCGCATATCGTCGGGCTCGAATAGTTTTACGATTTTCTCATTCTCGGATGTACATCCGGAGCTTTATTTGGCTTTCAGCGGAGACGCGCAGGAGAGCTTACGCATCGAGCGCTCCTCGATGACGTAATTGCCTCGAAATTAAGTAGTAACAGGTGATTTTGGTCAGGCATGGGATAAGCTCCCTTGACATCGAGAAAAAAAAAGAGAAAATAATAATAAAGAAATAAAAGAAATCGGGTGTTCGAGTTTTAACCGGTGAACGCCAGACAAGTATACGAGGCTAAATAACGAAGCGAAGAGAAAAAAAAGAAACTTAAAAAGTTGTATTACACACACACACGGTACACAAAGTATATACGACGGTGTCGGTGCGGGTCCGCGTGACCGAACACGTGATCGCGCGGCCACCACGGTACACTACATGCCTCGTTGTATGTAGCTCTCGCGTGAGAGAGAGTGTGAGTGAGCTCGCAAATATATATCTATATCGTACGTTCACCAGAGAGCCCGGGTATATAGTGTGTGCAATGCAATGCGCGCGCGAAGCCTGACGTCAGATGCACGTGTCGAGCAGCGTGGCTTATGCTGCAGCAGCACATGGACGTATACACACACATGCTTGCGAATCATGTGCACTTACATGCTGATTCCTTGGGGCTCGAAAGTGTGTGCGTTATTTTATGTATATATAGCTCGCAACGTGTCCGGTATTGTGTTAGAAGGAAGATCGGTAAGTTTCGCTGATCTCTGTACGATATATAATAAGTATCGCAAGGAAAGAGAGAGATCGAATTGTAAGACGATGTAATTCGTATAACGATATAAAATTGCGCTTTCGACGCGGTTTTGTAAAATTAACAAACTGGCGCGTGCGATTATGTCTTCGCGATTCGATAATTCGGCTATCCAGTGTTATTGCTATACGCTGAGAAAAAAGAAGAACGAAGGAAAAAATTCGAGCGGCTGTCAGCGAATTATTTTTATACATCCATTCCACCTATCGCAATAACTTTTTTCTCGCGAGTGGGCAGCTTTTTTTCTTAGTCGTAATCGGTGCACGCGCGCGCGGATTCCATCGAGCTTATAATATAACAACGCACATATAGTATCATCGCAATGTACATTATATATCGATGAGCTCGAATTGCACGCGCGACAAAAAAGAGAATCGTCGCGTTTTTATAGATACGTAAAGCACCGCACACATAATGCGTGGCGCGCACACACGTAAGCGGCGATCGCGTTATTTTAAACGTGCGGCGCGCGTTTATGGAATTGCAATTTTTTTTGACGTAACGCGATGTGACGAATTATTACAAGTAGACAACGCGTGCGTAATTGTAACGATTGTGTAGTATTTTTCGTATTCGCGTAATTATGAGAGCAACTGTGGAATAAAAGAATCCTTAACATTGGAGGCTAAAATCGCGATTGGAATTTTCGTCACTTGGACGTTGATAGTTT